CTCCACATGAAATCTTCATTTGTTACTAAGTATTTATATTAACTCAATGAGTCATTTTTCTTTAGTCCTTGCTTATATTACCTTTTTGTATTTATCCTTTGAGAATGTCTCACCTTTTTAATAATTCATTTTGTATCTGATTTTTATTTTTATTTATTTATTTTCTTTTATTATTCATATGTGCATACAAGGCTTGGGTCATTTCTCCCCCCTGCCCCCACCCCCTCCCTTACCACCCACTCCGCCCCCTCCCTCTCCCCCCAACCCCCTCAATACCCAGCAGAAACTATTTTGCCCTTATTTCTAATTTTGTTGTAGAGAGAGTATAAGCAATAACAGGAAGGGACAAGGGTTTTTGCTGGTTGAGATAAGGATAGCTATACAGGGCATTGACTCACATTGATTTCCTGTGCATGTGTGTTACCTTCTAGGTTAATTCTTTTTGATCTAACCTTTTCTCTAGTACCTGTTCCCCTTTTCCTATTGGCCTCAGTTGCTTTAAGGTATCTGCTTTAGTTTCTCTGTGTTGAGGGCAACAAATGCTAGCTAGTTTTTTAGGTGTCTTACCTATCCTCATCCCTCCCTTGTGTGCTCTCGCTTTATCATGTGCTCAAAGTCCAATCCCCTTGTTGTGTTTGCCCTTGATCTAATGTCCACATATGAGGGAGAACATATGATTTTTGGTCTTTTGGGCCAGGCTAACCTCACTCAGAATGATGTTCTCCAATTCCATCCATTTACCAGCAAATGTGTATCTGATTTGTAAATACTGAAAAGGGTTATTGAATATAGATTACTTTCTTTATATTTACTTTGAATAATACAAATTGATTTCTATCATAAAATTCCTTTAAGAGATTTAAATTTTTTTTTTTTTGATACTTGAGGTAGAAGTCAGGGCCTTGCATGTGCACTTGCAAGGCAGATGTTCTACCACTTGAGCCACGCACCTTGCTCTCTTTTGGTTTGCTTATTTACTTTAGAAAAGTAGTAATGATTATTGTCAATACAAGGAATATAACAAAAACACAAATTAATTTTCCTGACAATTTTAGACTCCAGGGCTTCTCTATGAGAAAGTCAGCTCTTATGAAAACAAAATACATCTAAAACAAAAACAGCAAGAATTTGAGACACTGTTCAAGACAGTGAACATGCACACAGAAAAGAGAAAGACAAAGGCAGTTTCTGTATTTCCTTTCCTCAACAAGATGTGTTGCATAAAGGTGAGGCTCATTTTGGTGAAAAATACTTCACTACAGAGAAATATTGAATTCCCTCCACCACCACCAAAAAAAAGTTTCAAGGCCTGACCTGAACAAAGAAATCAAAATTAGGTGACACGAATTACACATGAACCTCAAGTATACTTGCCATCTTCTTTACTCTAAAAAAAGCTTAACATCCGGGGGCTGGAGATGTAGCTCAGTGATACAGCATTTGCCTACCGTGAGCAAGACTCTGGGGTCAATCTCCAGCACCACCACAAAAGAAAAACAAGATGGTTTAGCATGTTTTTCAATATTAAATCAGTATACTCAATTTTCTGCATTAGGAAGTTTTCCAACCAAACTGACATTAAAACTAATTTCACTTTAAAGTACAAGAAAGGATATGCAAGACTAGTATTTGTGACATATAAAAACAGCATTCCTCCAACATCGGTGGGCCAAGAGGTAGCAAGAGGCGTGGAAAACCGGCTGCAGGACGAAGTGATCCATTACATCAACCGAAAAGCAAGGAGCCTCTGCTTTAAGACTAGGAAGAGGGGTCCCTACCAAGTCTGGCTGTTAACTGGACTCAGATCGCTGGTCTCAGAACCCTAACTTGACAAGCTGCATCCCAGCTCTTGCACAGTCGAGAGGGCCAAAGTTGTCCAAACTCATGGGTGGGCCTCCTCCACGCTCACACTGATCATGGCAAAAGAAACAAGAAGCCTAGGTTTTGGAATAGACATTATTTACCTAGTTAAGCGAAGTAAGATCAACATTCTCTTTTTTTAAAAAAAAAAAAATTTGTTTTATATTTTTGGTAGTACTGGAGTTTGAACACAGGGCCTTATGCTTACAGGAGTTCTGTCACTTGAGCCATGTCCCTAGCCCTAAGGATAGAAGTTCTTGTCTAGGGCAAATAATACAAAAATAGGTCAGGAGATCCCCCAAGCATTACTGCTGATATTTTTTTAGTTTTACTTTAGAGCAGCACAAAATTCTCTCTTCCACACAAGGACAAACTTTACACAAATGTTGCTCAAAACCAGTTATGTCTCTAGCTCTAGCCCCAGTTTAACAGGCTTTAAAAAAAAACAAAAACAAAAACATACCATGACAGAGCCAAAGCAAAGTAAAAGAATTCCTAGGATGGAAAGCACTCTAGAAGCCAGTGGGTGTATGTTTAAGTTATGGGGTTTGAGATTACAGGTCTGCAATGCTTGTTTCTTCCCTTCTATCACTGGGACATCTATCTTGGGCAGCTTGAAGGTTTCTGGATCTTCAGCCATTCAGGTGCCCTAAGCATGGATCAGCTCCACGGGACAGGGCTTCTGGGCTCCTTTGTAGACCTTGCTGGCAAAACCCCCAGAATCTGCCTTTTGGAGTGTCTTGGTCCAAAGACACTTCATTTATCTCATGAGTTTCTCTCCTATCTGGTGGAGTAACTCCAGTGGCTCAAGCAGTAAAGCACCTACCTAGCAAGTGTGAGGCCCTGAGTTCAAACCCTAGTACCACTAAAAAACAAATAGCAACAAAAAAACCCCCAAACTTCTGTAAAGAGTTTCTGTCTTTATCCCCACTTCCAGGATTCATGGTGCTAGGATTTGGATCCTAGCTGTGGAAGAACCAGAGGTGAAGCAGCGTCTGAGCTTCTGCTTGGGGGAAGAGTGAGGGGTGCCCCTGTGGTGGACTAGGCTGATGCAGACTGCTTCTCTTCTCGTTTACTCTCCACTCTGCAGCTTTAGTGTGAGGAGTGTTTCTGCCACTTGGAGGTACTTGGTCTTCTCAGTGGTGAGGAGCTTGGGGGTGTGCATCTCTCAGGTCTGCCTCTTGCTCAAGATGCTGGATGCTCTCCTGGGTCTGTTTTGCGATCAGAGAGAATTCATGACCTTGGTACCTTTCGCCTTTACCACTAGGACGTTATTGGTAAAGTCATGGCCACTGACAGGGTCACAGCTGGGGGCGGTTGTGGGAGTGGGGGGATACACTGGCCTCTTCCTTCTTTGCTTTTTGGCTAGATGCTGCTACTTGTGCCTGGGAATGCTGCCCATGTCAGCTGAGGGAGGAGTCATGGCACAGGGTCTTCAAGGGCACCATGGTAGCTGAATGCCCACCAGCACATTCAGATGGGCAGGGGACAATTTTCCCAGAGGCTCTTGGGTCTAGTGGATGCTAATGAGAAAGTGTGCAGCTACAGATCAGCAAAACCCCCAGGAAGAGTCCGTCCCGAAGTTCTGATCTCCTGCTGCCACCCAGCAGCCTACTGCCTGAAATCTGCTACTAAAGAGGCTCAGAGAACCCAAGACTCTGGAAATGCTGTGCACAGTCCACACCATCACAAGAGGGACAGCAACACCAATGGTCCATGTCAATGACCGAGAAGCACTGGCCTGCTTTGGTTGTTTTTGAGATAGGGCCTTGAGGTTTTAACATGGATTGGCTGGACCATAAATCTCCTACTTACACTTCTATAGCTGGGATGACAGGTGTATGACATCACTCCCACTTTTGTTTGTTTTTATTTTTGAGATGGGGTTTTATGAACTTTTTGCACTGGTTAGACTCAAACCACGATTCTCTTGCTCTCTGCCTCCTGAATAGTTGAGATTACAAGTGTGAGCCACCAGGCCCAGCTAAGAGACCTTTTAAAGGAATAATTGTGCTATAAAGTGGAGTAATTTTCAAATCAACCTCTAAAGATATTCCTAGTCAAATATAGTTACAATCAAGTGTATGATGGTATATCTTAGAGTAACAATATTTATTTTTCCTAATTCATGTTTGTTTCTAATATATATAATATATATATATATATATTATATATTTTTTGGTGGTATTGAACTCAAGGTATCTGAGTTCACTTGCTAGGCAGGCACGCTACCACTTGAGCCACTCCGCCAGTCCTTTTTTGTGGTGTTGGGTATTTTTTGAGATAGGATCTCTATATGCCTGAACTGGCTTCAAACTGCAATCCACCTTCGTAGCTACAATTACAGGCATAAGCTACAGTTGCTGGGCCTAATTATTATTATTTATTTATTTATTTTGAGACAAAGCTTCACCATGTTCCCAGGTAGGTCTTGAACTACTAGGCTCAAGTGATCCTCCTGCCTCAGTCTCTTGAATAGCTGGATCTACAGACACACACTACCATACCTAGCTTTAATTTGTCCTTTAAAACACAGCTAACAAGGGTCTCTCAAATTAAGTCTGCAAATAGAAACAATCTAGTACATTCTAGCCTAAAGTTAGTTTTGGAGGGAGGCTTTTTATGTCTTCCCCCCGCCCCGCCCCTGTGTTGAGAATTGAATGCATGACAAGGTAAACACCCTACAACTGAGCTACACCCCCAGATTCAGGGTTTGATGGGTTTTTTTTTCTTCCTTTTTTGTGGTACTGGGGTTTGAATCAGGGGCTTGTGCTTGCTAGGCAGGCACTCTACCACTTGAGCCACTCTTCTAGCCCTACTTTTGTTTTATAAATACTAAATGGAAAGGTACTTTATTTCATTAGCCAAGAGATGACACAGTTCAAAGACATGAAATGTGCCTCCATACAAATGTCTTTTGCTTTTACCAATCTTATTTGTAAAAAAAAAAAACAAAAAAACCCACTAAGAATCTTTTCTCATTTCAGGATCTAATTTTTGAAAACATCAACATTTGGGTATAAGACAAATTTATACAAATAAACACTTAAAAAATATAATATGGATGTATTATTTTTCTCATACAATATCAGATATTAATTTGTATGGATTATCTTGTTAAAATAACAAAAATCTGAAAATCAGCACAATACTTCATTTATTTATTGTATAAGTTTGGCAAACAGCACAAAAATCCAGCAACATTTTAAACATGTAAAAAAGTCAAATGTTAAACAGTACTGGGTATTTTTTTAACATTATTAGAAATAAGGAGTACACATTTAAGATTTTGCAAAGCTAGCAAAATGAGACTGCTTGGTTTATGAACATATATCACAAAAACATACATTAAAAATTATAATTTATCTTTACAAAAATCACAGCCAAGCAACAAAACAAAGAACGTTAAGAATGAAGGTGGAGCATATGTTTATCACATATTATATCTTATACATGGGAGTGCTACATCTTGTACCCTGAAATGCCATGTGCAGAGAGCCAAGCAGAGTAAATTGAGGCTCACCACTGAGGTTAGGAATTATTTGAGGGTAGTAATACTCAATTAAAACTTTCTATATAGCAATTCCTACATCATAACAATCTCCTCTATATCTGAGAAGCTGAGAGTTCTTTATTGGCAGTATAAAATTTCTGAACGGTATCAAAATTCTGGTAAAACACAAACTGAAGGCATTTTCTAATATATGCAGATGTTATACAGGCATCAATGAATGTGGAGGAAAACATATTTCACAATAAATTTCTTCTGAGCTTTATCAAACCAAACAGTTCAATTAATTATAAGGCAAGAGAAAAATAACCCTCTATAACAGATTTGTGGGTCTTAAGAAGCAAATATAGGATTTCAATCTTAGGAAAAAACTCCCTACATGAGGGCTCTGAAACAGTTGGCAATGAAAAGAGCATCTAGAAATTAACTAACATCTTGACATTCGGACATTGGTTCAAAAGCCTGACAAACAATCTGTTGGTATATATTATTAAATTAACTTTTTGGAATCAGCACCAGTCCCCAAAACCTCAAATTATAATATTTAATCTTCATTAAAATACATCCTTTTTGTGCTATATGTACACAACTATAATCAGGTTAAAGAAAGCTGAATTAATTCAACTTATTATATATTTTTGTATATACTGCGTAGCAACTTAAATTTCTTTTTATTTACTTGTGCTTCTGTTTTGGGGCACTTTGATTGAAGAGAAATTCATTTCACAGGATTACATCTTGCTAAAACATTCCTTAGCATTGGTCCACACTTGAATTCCCTAAAAACAAAAACAACTGTAAAATGTGATTCTGTATGACAGAACTTTAACCAAAATTATAGCAAATGGGGAAAACTGAAAGCATTTCCTTTAAAATCAGGACTGAAACAAAGGTATCCACTCTCACCGGTCTAATTCAATATAGTGCTTGAAATATTAGAGCAATAAAACAAGAGAAAAATATAAAAGACATAGAAATAGAAAATGAAGAAGTCAAATTATCCCTATTTGTAGATGGTATGATTCTGTACTTAAAATACCCTAAACTCCACCAGAAAACTCTTTGATCTGGTAAAAAAAAAAAAAACCTTCAACAAAGTAACAGGGTACAAAATCAACACATAAAAATCAGCTTTATTTCTTTTTGATGGTACAGGGACTGAACTCAGGGCCTCCCACTTTGAAAGTCAGTAGCTTTTCTATATACCAATAATGAATACGTTAACAAAGAAATAAGGAAAACAATCCCATTCACTATAGCCTTAAAAAAAACAAAATAAAACAAAACAAGACCTAGGAATAAACCTCTAGGTCATAGAGGAGGAAGACCTCTATGATGAAAACTATGAAACACTGAATAAAGAAACTGGAGACGACACTAGAAGATAGACCTCCCTTGTTCATGGATCAGAATTAATATGGTGAAAATGGCTGTATTATCAAAAGCAATCTACAGATTCGATGTAATCTCCATCAGAATTCCATAGACATTCTTTATTTAAATAGAAAAAACAATTCTAAACTTCATATGGAAGCACAAAAGACTGTAATTAGCCAAAGCAATCTTGAGCAAAAGGAATAATGTTGGAGGAGTCACAAAACCTGACTTCAGCTATTGTTCTGACAAAGGTGCGAAAAATGTACATTAGAAAAAAGACAGCCTCTTCAACAAATGGTGCTGGGAAAAACTGGATAACCACATGTAGGAGACTGAAACTAGATCCTTATCTCTCACTGTGTACAAAAATCTATTTAAAATGGATAAAAGGCCTTAATATAAGACCCAAAGCTTTTAAACTACTTCAGGAAAACACTACAAGATACAGGTATAGGTAACAACTTTCTGAATAGGATTTCAATAACTCAGGAATAATCATAAGAATTGACAAACTGGATTTCATCAAATTAAAAAGCTTCTGCATAGCAAAGGCATTAATTACCAGAGTGATGAGGCCACCTACAGAATGGGAGAAAAATCTTTGCCAGCTATTCATTCAACAGGGGATTAATGTCCAGAATGTATAAAAAGTTCAAAAAATTAAAACACCAAAAGAACAAATTAGTCAATCAATAAATGGGCAAATTAATTGGACATTTCTCAAAAGAGTAAAAATGACCAATAAATACATGAAAAAATGTCCAACCTCCTTAGCCATCAGGTGAAATGCAAATCAAAACTACATTGAGATTCCATCTCACCGTAGTCATAATGGCTATCATAAAAAAAAAAAACCAACAACAAATGCTGACCAGAATCTGGAGGAAAAGGAACCCTTATATACAGAATGTAAGTTAGTCCAGCCACTATGGAAATCAGAATGGAAATTCCTCAAAAAAACTAAAATGGAATTACCATATGATCCAGCTATAACCATTCCTGAATATATATGTGAAGGAATCACCCATGCTTACTGCAACACTATTCACAATAGCCAAGTTATGGAATCAAGAGAGTCTATCAACAGATGAACAGAGGTATACATACACAATGGAGTATTATTCACCCATAAAGAATGAAGTTATATCATTTGCAGGAAAATGGATACAACTGGAGCTCATCCAAGCCAGATTCAGAAAGACAAAATATTGTATGCTTTTTCTCATACACAGAAAGCACATTACCATAAAAGGGAGACTATTTGGGAAAAGGAATGGGACCAGTGGGAAGCGAGCAAGAGAGGAAAATGGGGGGATGAATATGATTAAAGCACATTATATACATGGAAATGTCATAATGAAACTCAGGATTTTGTACAATTAATATATGCTAATAAAAAGAAAATTTTCATTATATAAAAAAAGTGTATCCATATTTATGAGGCTTCAAACAACAGAAATTCTTTTAGTCTCCTTCCTCTCTAATGGGATACAAAAAGGAGGTAAATATAAATAAAAAACAAAAATCCTTTAAAATGTCTCAGATTGGCTAGATAAATAGTATCTAGAGCTATGCATGTGGTGCACACCTGCAATCCCAGCACTGAGGAGGCTGAGGCAGGAGGGATCAAGAGTTTGAGGCCAACCTGGGCTACAACACATACAAATGTCTCAAACATACAAATAAAGAAACAAATGCAGTATCTAATAGTGTTCACTGTTTGAATGAAATAATTCTTGCCAAGTACAGTGGTTCACACCTGTAACCCTAGCTACCTGGGAGGTGGAGATAAGGAGGATCACAGTATGAAGCCATCTTGTGCAAAAGATTTCATGGGACCCCAATCTCAACTGATAAGCTGGGCATGGTGGTGCACGCCTGCCATCCCACCTTTCCAGGAAGAATAAATAGGAGGATTGCAGTCCAGGCTGGGCTAGGCATAAACACGAGACTCTATCTTAAAAATAACCAAAGCAAAAAGAGTTGGGAGTGTGGGTTAAGTGGGTAGAGTGCCTACCTAGCAGGTGCGAGGCCCAGAATTCAAGTCCCGGTACTGCCAAAAAAAGAAAAATAAATAAAAACAGGAAAAGAGATAGATGTCATGTACTATCATCATAAGATGTTCATGAGACATCAAACTAGAGACTATACACCAGTGCATACAATATAACCCTGATTTGTGGAGAAGAGAAATGTATTTTCTAAATGATTATATATACAAAAAATATGGAAGGATCCACATGAAAGGATAAAAGTAGGATATATTTAGAAAGGATATGGGGGAGGAGGAGAAAGTTTTACTAAATATGTTTCCAAGTTATTCAAATTTTTTGCATTGGGCACATGTGTTATTTTTTATAATAATAATTACAAAGATAAGTTAACTGGAAGAGCAATCCAATATTTTTTAAAAGCTTTAACCTATATGATTCAATAAATAAGATAATTCATTATCAAAAAGATAAGCATTCAAAAGTCTATTTACTTTTAAAATGCTTTGTTACTTATGTTTTTGTTTATTACTACTGTAATTTAGTCAATTATATTCAAGTAACACTTTTATTTAACACTTTGAATTGCTGACATCAAAATGAAGCCTGATATATTTTCAGTTAATATTTAATTAAAATATAGAAAATACATTCATATTTATCCAAGAAACTAGTGACATTTAATTTTAAGCCTCCAAAGAAAAGGAATATGTCAGGCACTGGATGTGGAGGTACATGCCTGTAATCCCAGTATTCAGCAGGCAAAGGAAGGAAGATCAAAAGAGTTCTAAGGCTACCCTGGGCTACACAGCAAGAGGCTGTCTCAAAAAAATTCAAGGGCTGGGGCTGGGGATATAGCTCAGTTGATAGAGTGCTTGCCTAACGTGAACAAGGACTTAGCACAGCAAAAGAAAAAAAAGAAAAAGGAAAATAAAGGACCCTGTTGCTTTTCAAATATAAAGACCTATTCTACTTAGGCAAGAAAATAAAACATGATTAAACTTCACAGCATTGTTTTGGAATATGAGATGAACATACACTCTTATTAACTCTTTTTTACTACTGCTATTATCTTAGGATGTGTATGCAAACCCATGGGACACCCAACAGCATGTCCAAATACATCTACAGAAAATATATTCAGAGGTTACATCTCTAGCACCCTCCACGGTCCCACCCTAAACAAAGGGGAGGAGACCTTTGCATCTACGCAAATCTTTGCATTTTACTTTACAAAGCCTATTAATGAGTCCTTCTTAGAACAAACAAAAACAAAAAACAGCTGTAAAACCTTTTCTATCTGATCATTTACTCTTCCTGAGAAAGAAAACTCTCAATGTCCAACAAGACAGCAGCAGCAGCAGAAATTGCCAGGAGGGCAGCAAGGAAGCATAGCAACACTACTAACTGTAAGAGTCTCTTCTTTTAACACCTGCGCATTCACCAGTCATCACCTTAACTTCTCTTAAGTGACTTCAAAGATTCACAATACGAAGTAACTTATAATTCACTCAAGCGTAAATATGAATTTGCCCAAGCCAAAAGGAGTTCACTTAACTGTAAGTGGGTCAGGTGTTTACATCTCAAAACATCCTTGTTATTGCTAGTGCTGGTGATACAAGCAAAAAGGGTAAGAAAAGTGATGGTTCAATCAAAAAAATAAAGTTTGTGGATAAACTAAATCATAAAAATTAGGTACGTGTTTATATGAGTATGATTTTTTTTCCCTCTAAGAAGGTCAGAAATATGGAAGTTCTTAATTTCTATGACTTCCTGAGATGATGTAAGTTAAATCACTTGATAAACTCCGCCATACCACCTAGTAAGTGCAAGAGCCTGAGTCCAAACCCTAGTACCACCAAAAACCAAAGAACCAAACAAAAAATTCCTACTTATTTCAAAATTAAGTAGAGAAAAATAAGAAAAGTCCTGAAAGGGAAGAATTAAAATGATTTTTTTTGTTCAACTAAGAGAATGTACAGAAATTTGTAAGCACTTCTGAATTTGTATCTTCACTGGGACGCAAACCTACCTTTTTGCACATACTGATCTGCATAACAGCATAGCTTATGAGGGCCTCTTTTAAGTCTCGGTTCTTTTGTTCTTTGAAGCGTTCAATATCAGCCCATGCATTTTTCACAAATTCTCTGAAATAAAAGGTATCATCATTATCATTATTACTTAAATTAAATAGACTGTTTATTATAAACTCAACTAAGTAGTTCTCATCTGAGTTGACTCTGTCTATATAGAAGAAAAAGCTATTGCTTGCATAAGACTGTTCTTTTTTTCTGTTTCTTAAAACTTACAGTGAGGGAAAAGCAGAGAGTTATCTATTTTTACATATTTTACTTTTTATTTATTTATTCTTTGTCTGCATTTTAATAACTTACATTTTATTCACAAGGATTCTACCTTCAGATTATTCATTTGAAACAGAAGTATATGTCTCCTTGAAAACCAGCTCACAAGTCTTACAATGCCACAAGGAAATGCTTTCCTATGTCACTGGAAAATATACACTCTTGACAAGGTCAATTATGAATCACACTTAGTACACATGTGCTTTAAAATGACAACTAGGGTTTTAAAAACTTCTGATTGCTGGGTGCAGTCACATGTGTCTATAGTCCCAGATACTTGGGAGGAGGCTAAGAGGGGAATATTACTTGAGCCCTAGAGTTCAAACCAGCCTGGGCAACACAGTGAGACTAAATCTCAATAAAATAAAATAAATTCTGATAGGCACCTTTAATTATAATCACACAAGTTTACTTTGACTTAATTGGTGCCAGAAGTTCTAAAAATTAACAAAGCTACCTTAAAAGATTCATTCTTAGTCTACATTGGCCTACTTATTTATTCAGATGAAACCAAGGGAAATGAGCCAAGCAGTGGCAGAAGAGCTCCAAGAACTGAATTTCTAGAAATATTTATGGGATAACTACATGCCAAGCCCCATGCAAGGTGGAAGAGACATAAAGTTTGAAAGGCTCATAACTTATCCAGGGACAGTCACACAGCACAACTAACCACCCAGCAACATATCTGCTGTGCTAGAGTGGCATGGATAGAGTGCTAGGTCATCCTGGAAGTGAAGTAACACATGAGCTGTGCACTGAGGAATGATCAGGTTTTTGATAAATGGGGGAAAAGAAAGGGCTGAGAGAATGTGCAAAGAACAGATACAATGAAAAGAAAAGAAATAATGTTATAAACCTCAAACCCCATCTCTTCTACCTCTCCACCCTCCCAACATTAACACAACTGTTTCTGTAACATAATTTTTGTTAACTTCTTATGAATACAATTACTGCATTTTAGAGGAACAAACTGTATGCAGAGAGAGAGGCTTAGGAAGTTGGGAACTGTTATTAATGTGTGTGTGTGTGTGTGTGTGTGTGTGTGTCCGTCCCATTGTGTAGTCTACAAGTTTAGCTTTGTTAAACATCTCGGCATTTTTACCTGCCTTCCAGATTTTTAGATTTGAGCTGTTGTTCTCCTTCATTTATTTGTTCTTCTAGCACCTTTATTCTGGCTTCCCTCTGCTCTGGAGTTTCTTGACCAAAGAGCTTGGTAGTCATTCCCTTCAAAGAGAATGTCCTCACAGTCTAAAAGAAAATAGAAACAGATGAATATACATTCAAGTTAGATACATACATACAATGAATATTATTCAGTCTTTAAAACAAAAGAAATTCTGACAAGTTATAATAAGAATGAGCTGTGAGGATATTATACTATATTGTAAGTGAAATATAGCAGACCCCTGGTATCTATAGTTCCAAGACGACCACCACTGAGGGAAAACTGCAAATGCTCAGAATACATACGAGTTCAGGATTCTAAAATTACTCACATTTACCTATAACATATTTACAGCTGTCACAAAATTACTGTTGTACACATTAATGCTGTTTACCAAAAACTAGACTTATTTCATGTTCTTTAACGCAAATACTGGGGACGCTAGGTTCATTTTTTTCCCATAACACTGCCCAACTTCCACTTTATGACGTGCCACCTTTCAACAAATCTCAAATTTTCACTTTATCACTTCAATTAAGCACATTATCTGACCTTTTGGGCTTGGGAGGATTCACCATAACATTTACCTGGCTTTTTGGGTACCACTGCTTTTTGGAAGGCAAGTTTTCACAAAATTAAGAGTAGGGAAATAGCAGGTCATATAATATTTCAACACAACTGATGATAAGACAGGACTGACTGAGAGCTTCTCCACATCAATTGAGTTATGTAATGCACATGTGGGAATTTAAAATTTTTGTTTTTAAAATTTCTTTTGATTTTTTATTTTGGTTTGGGTGCTTGGTCAAAATCATGTGTAATAAATCTGTGGATAAGACAAACTTACTGTATCCCCACTTAACTGATGGGACATAGAGTAGTCAAAATCATAGAAACTGAAGGTGGAATGGTGGTTTCCAGGGCTATGGAGAGGAGAATGGGTAGTTGTTTAATGGGAACAGAGTTCTTTTCATCTTGGGATTGGTTGCACACCAACATGAAAGTACTTGATATTACTGAATGATACACTTAAAAATGATCAAGATGGTGAACTGTATATTACATATATCTTACATGCTCTCCATTCCTTCAAAACTAGAAGACAGTGCTCATTTCCTCAGCTCAGTGTAAAGCACTATAAGCTTTACAACCAGGGGACTCATTTAATATGATTTTTAACCCTGGAATAACACAGAACAGTCAAAGAGGGGAAACTTAATCAACTGGAAAACTTCCAGGTAAAGAATTAGACAAGTTATTTCTTACTTTACATTAGTGGTCATACTTTAAAAATTGCTCTATGACATTAAAAATAGGTAAAATTCAATAGATTACTATGAAAACAAATCAATAGAAACACATTTAAAATGTGCCTGGCTCTTGCTGAAACTTGGATATTTATTAATCAAACAAGATGCCTAAACCTGAGCATTGCCAGTCAGCTTCAAGTGTCACTGCTTTACCATCTCCTTGCTCTCTGGACCTTATGGAAGCCAATACTCTTCCATTCATATGCAAAAATGGAGAAGCAAGCTCCCTCAACATGGCCTGGCAACTTCTTCTGAAGTTTTAGGAATAAATCAAAGGTTTAGTATATACATGGCTCATGGTCACAGGTCTTTTCCTACATAAGTCTATGACTTTTTACAGACATAGCAAGTAAGATTATGTATATAAATCACTGTTTGGAGAAGGGTGGTACTGGGGTTTAACTCAGGGCCTCACACTTGCTAGGCAAGTGCTCTGCCACTTGAGTCACTCCGCCAGCATGAAAAGCATTTATAAAACTAAAGTACTTATTAACTAAGACAAAACTGACAAACAGTAGCACTGCTGCTGTTTCATTCTTTCCCACCATGGCAGTCAATGCATTCCAAAGAAGAAATTGGACAGTACAGAGCCTATCAGGAAGAAGACCTAAGTCTGTGCAGTACGATAGGAAATTTTCTTCATGAGTATGCACTGTAAGCATTAAAGAACAAAGTACATAGCTCTTTGTTAGGAGACAGGTACTGATTCTAACTGAGTAAGGGCTGTTCAAAGTGAACTAAAATTTCTTAAGAAACCTTGCCAAATTAAATTGGACAGGGCTGGCGTATGACTCAAGTAATACAGAGTGCTTGCTTTAGCAAACATGCAGCCCTGAGCTCAACCCTCAGTGCAGCAAAACACATAAATGCCATACAAATTCTTACAACACAAAATGTGGTTTTTTCGATAGCTGGTTATCTTTTTATATTAAGAAAATGACCAAATGATTGCAAAGTTGCTCACAAATTATTCTCCTGTAAAACATACAAGCATACTGCACTTTTCAAGTATAGCTGATTCCTTGATCTGCTGCAACAGATCAGAGACCTGAAGAGTACTCACTCCTGTTGCCAGCTCCTCACACTGCTGCTTCTTGGATGCCAGGTCCTGAGCAGCCATCTCCAAATCATACTGCATGAGCTCATGTTTCCTGCACACAGCCCTGGGGGTGAAAATGTGCTACCATTTAGCTTCCCTGGCTTCTTCAACGTGTCAAAAAATGCTTTTCAGGGTTACAGGGGAGGCAATCACAATGTCCTATTATGGTCAGAACTTGTCAGTCTAGAACTTTAAGTTTAAAGTGTAGTAGCCCAATGCTAGAAATTAAATCTAGCAGAGTTTTAGCATAAAAACTTTACATACACTTAAGACAAAAGTTGTTTGCATCATTTTTCAATAAATATACTATTACCACATACATGAAAAATTTCTACTACTTGGGAGGCAGAGATTGGGAGGGTCACAATTTTAGGCCAGCGTGAACAAAAAGTTAGGAAGGTTCCCATCTCAACAAACAAGTGCAGTGTGGGGGTATGCACTGTAATCTCAACTATACAGGAAGTATAGGTAGGAGGATTGTGATCAAAGGCTGGCCCTGAGGAAAAGAGCAACACTCTATCAAAAAAGGGGCTGGAGGTGTGACTCAAGTAGCAGCTAGATAGAGCATCTGTCTAGCAAACCCCAGTACCACCAAAAAATGTATTTTTTTAAAATAACATAAGAACTAAGGTTGTCATCTCATGTGGCAACTGAGTATTCCTTCTTTTTTAAAATGTCTATTACTTTTGATTATCATAAATCATAATAATAAAGCACACTTGGTATAAAAATGATTCTAATATGGAAATGCATAAAACAAAAAGAAAATTTCAAGAACTGCCTCTTTACTACACATTGCTACATGGTGTACATCCATCCAGAAATGTGCTAGGCACTTACAAATACATATACCCACATCCCCCAAATGGCTCTGCATCTTTTCTCACTTAGCTCTATGCCATGGATGTCTTTTCAGGCCAATACACATTAACCATTTTCATTATTTTTAGAAGTTGCACAGAATTCCACTGTATTCAGCAACCTTTTGCTTGGTGACTTGAGATTATCTCAGTGAGACTTACCATACTCAAAGCACTGCAAGGAAAAGAGCTAACAATGTACAGATGCTTTCACACCAGTTACTGACCAGCTAGAGGAACATTGTTCTGTTTCCTTAACACAATTCTTGTACTGCTTTTAAGAGAGACAGGAAAACTGACCAAGCCACCCATCCCAGGAAAATAATTCATTTTTCTAAATTGAGCAGAAGAAATACAATAACTTTTCCTTAATCAAATAGGACTATCTAGCAGCGAATTTTGTTTGGCTCTATAGGAGATACCATAAAAACAGAAGGAAAAGTTCTTGGTGTTAAGGCACACAGATATGGGAAAAAAAATTACATAATTAAAATGGCAATATGCAACCTAGTGACAAATAGCACTATATACATTCTATCTGTATTTTGCTACAATCTTCAAACTGGAAAAAAGTAGAAAGAACAATAGACAAAGACAGAACTGATGCCTGGGACTGCTGGGTTTTATCAATAGAATGTTTCAAGGGCAGTCCTTCTCTTACATTTTTATGCCTAACACTCCGCAACACAGAGGAATATGCTGAGAACTCATCCATTTTAAAAGAACGTTACTATCTGTATTTTACAGTAGCATATGAAATGAGTAGGGATCAGGTACATCTGGAACTTTTATTAAATACTTACCTCAGTGCTTCTGCATAAAAAAGATACTCTTTTAACTGATCTGCATAATGTTCTTCATCTTCCAAAATATCATCAATAGAGGATGCATATCTGTTTTAAAAAACACTGCATAAAATTTTCATTGTGACAAAGTATTAACATTCTATAAGAAGTGCTATTCAAAGTATGGTGCACAGGCCATTTGTCACCTGCCAGTGACAAAGTATGGAAAGTGAGAATTAGCATTTAGAAATATTTATGGAAATTTGTAATTACCACAATTATTTTATTAAATTTTACCAAAGTGCAATGACTTAGAAACAAACAAACAAACAAAAGTGGTCCTTTTTACAGGTAATTGAAGAAGCATTGTATGACTTTAATCTATGGTTCAAAGGTCTTAATAAAAGGGCTATAAAACCTACAGAAAAGATGTTTGGTATAATTGCTATACACATTTTCTCTGTAGCAATTATTTATAATGATATCAAAAAGCTACACAGGGAAAAATAGAGCAAATAAAACTTACAGGAAATTTTCAAAGCCTTCCTTTGTTCTAATTGTCAGCAACAGCCTCTGCTTTGATGAGGACGACCTCTTCCTCAGAGTTATGTCATTCCCCTCCCTGCACCTGATCCTTTACTGGGCAGAAATGGGATGGCTCTCAACATGGCTTCTCCAAATCCCACAAGCACATAGCCAGAAAATTTTCCTAGACTACTTGAGTCTTTATTCATCTCTCATCAACAAGTTTTAGAACTTGAACTTTCTTTCATGTTGGTTTTACTTCTCTGATCACATTGTGAATTTCTTTCATATTAATTCTTTTCTTCTCTCTCTCTTCCCTCTCCCTCTCTCCTTTCTCTCTCCCCTCTTCTCTCTTCTCTTTTCTCTCCTCCCTCCCTGCCCCCCCAATGTGTTTACAGGATTTATAAAAGCAGGCAAAAATACATATTCTGTAATTATAAACTTACAAATGCTAGAGTGAGCAATCTCATCTAAGTGGGAAAAAAAAGTCTCGATAATCACTGTTAAGAGTAGGGGGAAAAGTAGGAAAATCTCTCTTTAGTTCATAAATCTATGATTCTAAAAGAGATAATCTTAAGAAAAGAAAGAGAGCTATGCATGGTGTTCCACGCCTGTAATCCCAGTACTAAAGAGACCAAGGCAGGAGGATCTCAAGTTCGAAGCCAGCCTGGGCTACTATAGTAAGACTCTGTCTCAGAGGTCAATAGGAGAAGGGGACCAGGAACTAGAGAAAAGGTTAGTTTGAGAAGAATTAATTTAGAAGGTAACACACATGCACAGGAAATCAATGTGAGTCAACTCCCTGTATAGCTATCCTTATCTCAACTAGCAAAAACCCTTGGTCCTTCCTATTATTGCTTATACTCTCTCTTCAACAAAATTAGAGATAAGGGCAAAATAGTTTCTGCCTGGTAGCAAGGGGGTAGGGGGGGAAAGAGGAAGTGAGGGGATGGGGAGAAGGGGGGAGAAAGGACCCAAACATTGTATGCACGTATGAATAAAAGAAAAAATTAAAAAAAAAAAAAGACTGTCTCAAAAACAAAAAAGAAGAAAGGGAAAAAAGGAAACAAAAAGGAGGTGCCACAGGGCTTGGTGGCTTGAAGATACAAATATAACGTAGGAATAAACTAGCATTTCCTTGGACAGAGAACTTTAAATGGTAAAGATTTTTAGATATTAGCACTGAGAATCATGTTACTTAATATTTTAAATAATCAGCTAGAATGATGATCCTGAATTCTTGCAAATACTAAAATGCTAAATCAACAGAATACAGGAAAACTTATAGTTAAAGAAGCTGGTTTGAAAATAGCTAGTCAGCTTGAATATTAGCTAAAGAAAAGTAGCATTTAGATAAAGCATTTTTCACCCCCTCAGAGCTTTAAAGATATAACTGACAAAGACTGTATATGCTTGCAGTGTACAGTATGTTTTGATAGATGATACAGTGTGACGTGATTAATTCAAGCTAATTAACACATCCATACCTGACAAACATCTTTTTTGTGGTAAGAATATTTAAAAACTATTTTTTCTTTTCATTATTGAATTGTAGCAGTTCTTTATATATTATGGTTTGCTCCAGCTTGTGGTTTGCCTCTTCATTATCTTAATGATGTATCTTTTTTTTTGTAGAAAAATACATAAAATACAAAATTTACCTTTGTACCCATCTTTAAGTGTACAGTTCAGTGTCACTAAGTACATTCGCACAGTTATACAACCATCACCACCATCCATCTCCAGTATGCTTCATCTTCTCTAACTAAACTTTTGTACCCAGTTTAACATTTACTCCCCATTTCTCCTTCCCCCAAAATTGCTTTTGAAGGCATCAATTTTAAATTTTGATAATGATTAACTTACCCTTAATTTGTTTCTTCTTTTCATGGTCTCTTTAAGAAATCTTTGCTTACCCCAAGGTTGCAACAATATTCTCCTATGTTTTCTACTAAAAGTTAGCATTTTAGTTTTTAAATTTATGAGTAAGGCCCCAATTGAATTATTTTCAATTTCAATTGAATTATTTTTTGTACACATTTTTTCCCTATGTGGATAACCATCTGTTGATATGTACTGTAAAGGTATGGATCTCTCTTTTCACTACACTATAGCTTATAGTTAATCTTTGCCTGGGGCAGGGAAGGAGGTAGGTCAAACTGAGATCTGAACTTTTACTCTCATTCTTGCTCAGCTTTATTGTTTGTCAAAACTGTTTTGGCCACTCTAGGTCATTTAATTTTAATATAAATTAAATTAATTTATAGTAAATTAATATAAAATAAATTGATAATCAGATTATCAATTTCCATTTAAAAAATCATTGGAATTATGACTAGGACTGCAATTTGGGGAGAGTGGACATTTTAATACCAAGTCTTCCGATTCATTTATTTAGGTCTTCTTTAATTTCTTTCAGCAATATGTTCATATAGTTTTCATTTTAAAGGTTTTCCAACATCTTTCATTAAATCAATCCCTAAGCATTATGTTTTAATATTATTGAAAATAGTATTGCTTAAAATTTTTTATTTTTTAATTGTTATTGTTGGTATGTAAAAACCATTGATTTTATATATTAAATTGATATTTCAAATACTCATTAAATTCAGTTGTTAGTTCTGTATGATTTTTGGTTGATTCATTACAAATAGCTTCTCTACATAAACTGAAAGGAACACACAGGTTTTATCTTTATTCCACTAATATATGAATTAAAGTAATTTTTGAATGTATGCATTAAGCTAACTTTGCATTCTTCAGATAAATTTAAGCTGAATCTAGACACACAGAGCATAATATAGATGCCATTATACTTGATAAAAACAGAAGAATGGAGGAGTTCCTAATACTGAATCCCCTCAGGTTACATTAAGCTCCCGCTCCTCACGTACTCACACGTCCATGTGGTGACCAGCACTCTGCAGTCCATCACCCAGTTCTTTCTCTATGGCACTCCACTCACTAAGAAGAAAAGAATAAAACCAAAAACACCATGGACTAGAGATATGGAATATTATCCAATGGAATCTTTTAAATACTGCCTGGTACCCATGTTTGGATTTATTTTCTGTGACTCACATATATTCTGTTTTCCCCATAAGTCTAACAACTATGTAAATAAAGGCTCAAAAGTTGATACCTTCTGTTAAGTGTGCAGCAAGCACCATACAAAATAGCCTCTGCTTATAGATAACATTCCCAGAGTGCCCATCTAAATTAATGGTGGAGCTCTTTGAAAGTAGGGATACTAGCGCTACTATTGATCTACTTAATCATAGTCTCTGGGCCTCGTATATTTTTAAATGCTCCTTATAAAATTCTGATGAATGCGCCTGACTGTTACATGACATTGTTGTAACAGTTAACAGAAAAAGATGATTGTAAAGAAACATTAAGTGCACAGAACTTTAATAATAATATACATACTGCATGAGAAAGCCTAAAACAACTCAGATCATTTTACTGTCATTTCTGTGAAATGCTTCTCATGAGAAATATGTAACATTTTTATGGAAGTTATATATGGTTATTATAGTAAACTGGGAAGAAATCTGTAACTCCAAATATAGAGTGAGAATTTCTAATCTAAATTTGGAAATGCTCTGATATCTGAAACTTACTGAATGCTGACATGGTGCTATAAGTGGAAAATTGTACATCTGACCTCATGTGACAGATCAATGAAAATACAGGGGCAGCCACCACACCTGTAATCCCAGCACTCAGGAGGCTTGAATGCTGAGCAAGAGGACTGAGTTTGGGGCCAGCCTATATAACTAAGACCCTATCTCAAAAAAACCAATAAAACAAAACAAAACAATAACAAAAAAACCCAAACAGGTACACTAAAAATATGGTATATTACCTTCAGGCTATGAGGGTAAAGTGTATATGAAATACAAATGAATTTCTTGTTTAGACTTAGGTTCCATCCCCAAGATATCTCATATATACTTGAATATTCCAAATTCCAAAACACTTTTGGTCTCAAGCATTTCAGGTAAGGAATATTTAACCTATACTGAGAGATGACATAATTCTATACTCTCCTCCTAATCCTTTTATTTGTTCGTTTCAATGTGGCTGAGACTCTATGGTGTATGTAATTTTGTATCATGCTTTCCCCCTTAACATTATATTCCCATATTAAATGGCACTCTTCTTTTAATAGCTTTTATAAATTGTTCTTGAAATACCAGATCATATGCTTTAGTACTAGAAGAAAAAAAATCTCACATTTAAAAAATATTGTCAAGGAAGCAAAACAGTAAGTAACTGTACAGTTCTAATTAAAAGACAAAAATAGTTAAGACTGCCCTCACAAATTTTCTTTACTTATATGTTTACTCACAAAACAGTGGCACCAACAATGAACTTTAGTGCTTTGCTATTTACAAAATGGCTTTTTAACATCTCTAGTTCTAGCTCCAAAGGTACATTTCTACACATATAAGACAATTCTGCTTTTAATTACCTTTGTGACTTAGAATTTTTTTTTGTGTGTGTGTGTGTGTGTGTGTGTGTGTGTGTGTGTGTGGTGCCAGGGATTGAACCCAGGGCCTTCTACATGTAGGCAAGCACTCTATCACTGAGCTATATCTCCAGCACCCTTTTTCACTGCAAATTCAGCATATGTAAAGCCTAGATCTTCAAATGAAAATAAAATCTAGGGTCTGAGCAGATTTCTAGTGCATTCAGCCATATGTGAAGTGTGGTTATCATAGCTGATATAACCATAAATCACTCAATGGCAACAGGGATAATCCAGATTATTGTCTACTGATGCCCCACAGGTACTTCGTTCATCTAGTGTTTAGAATCTTATTATTGCTACCATCTCTAGGTCAACACAGCCATATTTAATTCTATGAATCCTAAACAGGACTAAAAATAATTTTAAGCAAGAGAGGTCTTACATTTAATCATTATTCTATTTCTATTAATAGTTTAGTGCTTGATAAATACTTGACTTTTATAGTCTTAGGTAAAATGAGCCAATCAATAAACTAATAAATGTAAGGTGTAAAACATTCACTAACTCTGTGTATCAACCACTGTTAGGCACTGGAAAGAGCAAGATAAAAACAAGCTTTCTCCCATCGTTGGTTAGAGTCCAGTCCTTTGCTACTCAAACTGTGCTTTAGCAATAGCATCACTGGAAGTTTGTTAGAAATGCAGGACTACAGGACCTGCTCCAGATCTATTGCTTTAGCAATAGCATCACTGGAAGTTTGTTAGAAATGCAGGACTACAGGACCTGCTCCAGAACCAGAATGGGCATTTTAACACAATCTCCAGGTGAATTATATGCTCATTAAAATTTAAGAATCACTAACTACACAAAAAAGCTCTAACTTGGGGTCCATGGATAAATCTAGAAAAAGGAAACAAAAATGTTAAACAGTTTAGCTGGGGGAGAAAAGAACTAATAATATACAAAGAACTATTAAAGGAGAGGGGGACTTAGCTTCAAATTTTTGAGAGGTATAATTGCTCTTAGAGTCCTTAATGGACAATTGCCTTTGATGAACCAGGTAAGTGAGGTTTGTGGACTTCTTATAGCATCTGATGAAAACACAGACCTTTTCCCTACGTAGTTAAAAATAATTAGAAACACAAAATGTTGCATATAGTCTCAGAGGCTTTAGAGAGTCTGAAGTCCATTCTCTCCTCTTAGATTAAGAACCGTGAACTATTAAAACCACTAACATCCCTCCTGAACTAGTATCTTACAATTTCACTAAAGAAAGAAAGGAAAAGACTCCAAGAATGCCTGACCATTCTAGATTTAGGAGAGGAATGAAAAACATTACGAATTACAACAAAAATAGAGGCTTAGAGCTAATTTAGTCATCCAATCTGGAATGCATCAGAGACAGAGGCATGAGGGGGAATAACTGCAGTTCCAAGCAGGTATACAGCAACAGGTTCTCTTCTACAAAGATTTCATGTACACATAAAGTTCCAAACTAAGGAAGGGTTTGGAAATCAGTGTCCTCATTTAACCTCACAATTGAATAAATACTTAAAATCTATCTTAGAAAACAAATATGGTTTACTCAAATTCAGGCAGCTAAGAGACGAAACTAGGAGTATAATCAACTGTAGTAGAGTGCTCTATGTGCTAATCCAAGCCTGTAACACTTACTTTTTTGTTCTCTTACTCAAAAGATTTCTTCCTCCCCACTTACCATGCATTTAGTCAAAACATAAAAAATGAAGTTAGCATCATTAAACAAAGTACATTTTTATGTCACTGAGCTTTGAGGTGTATAAGAAGTTTGATCTCAGATCATGTGCTTTCAAGCATGGCTCTTTCAAATAAACTGCTTGTGTATTTTCCTGGAATCCCTTAGAAGAAACTATAACAGAATCTTGAGAAATGTTTTCTCTTGGTTGATTCCTTATGTATTCACAATCCATGAACTGAGATGAGTATTTTTAAATGCTCAGTGAACAGACTATAACATTTTAAACTGACAGCTTTCATTAGTAGCAAGTGCACAGTTACTGGCACTTATAACTCTTTTTTCCCTCTTTTGTATATCTTTTGCAGAATGAACCCCACTTATGTATTTAGTCCATTTTTGGACTGGTACATGTGAAAAGTTCCTAGCCTGAAACTTAGAGAAAATAGGGACCACTGTTGTGAGTCCCTATGAGGTATGACCAAGTATAATCTACTTGGTCTACCCTATAAGTAGGTTAAGTGCTATATAATAGGAGAAGGAGGCTGCAAAAAGCCTAAGAATTCAAGAACACAAAACACACTCCTCTATCTAAAACAAACAGAGGTGGGGGTGTGCCTCAGCAGTAGAGCACTTGACTAGCATGTGCAAATTCAATCTCTGTCACACACACACACACACACACACACACACACACACACACACACACACACATTCTCACCAAAACAAAACAAACAAAAGCAAAAAATAGAAACAATGAACAAAAAAATTAGCAGTGACATGAACATGGTAAAGATTTTCCTTGTGTATCCATTTCTTATACACTTATCTCTATCTCTTTCCCACTGACAACCCTTTCCACTCACAACTCAATCTTTTTTCTTAGTTCATTTTATCACTCCAATCTAATTCAACAAGCCAAGATTTTATGTAACTTGACTATATTGAAAAAAATTAAGAAAAAAAGCTGATGAAACCATCTTGATATTTTTTCCCTCTCAAATTTCAAAGAAGAAATCAAGCTTCACCCCCTCCCCCAATTTCAAGGTTCCAAACATTGATTATGTGTGGTGCTAGGGATTGTACCTGGGACTAGGCAAGTGCCCTACCACTGTGCTATACTACAGCCCTCAACTTGTGAATTTTTCATTACTGTTTTGGATCGGAAGCACTCAGAAGGTACAATCCATCTCCCACCAACTGCCAACCCTCAGCAATCCTTTTCTGCATTCCCAAATGATACCCTCTCATCAGTGTCCCTTAAACTGGAACATTTCATCATAGATATCTAAAGCCACATGAAAAACATGTCACAATCATTCTGAAGAATGAATGTGACATTCATTAGAGAGAAAAAACTTTTTAAAATGAACATTAAAACAACCATGGAGGGCTGGAAGGTCAAGTGGTAGAGTGCCTGCCTAACAAGGCTCTGAGTTTAAATCCCCGTATTTCTCCAACCCCTCCCCAACCCCCCAAACCACCACCACCACCACCAAAAACAACAGCAAAACCAACCATAGTCATAGTATTCTGTAGAATAAAAAGCAAATTCTCCCATTTCCCTTGGTAAGGCAGTAAAAGATAACTTTAAGAGTTCTCTGCAAGAGTTAGACAGACTGCCCTACTTTACTCCCCTCGAGTCCCACAACCACAAAATATGCCCAACCTGCTTTCAGCAGAGAAACCTCTCTATCTCTTTCCCATTCACCCTCTATTCCTCTCTCTCAGCCCACTACCCCAAAGCTCTATTTCCCTTCCACAGTAACTGTGTGTTTGGCCTTTCTTCTCTCAGGGCCTTTTTTTTTTTCTTAGCAGTACTGGTGTTGAACTCAGGGTCTCAAGCATGGTAGGCAAATCCTATACCACTTAATCCAAGCTGTCAGTCCTTCTGCTTTGATTATTTTTGGGATAGGGTCTCGTCTGGCCCAGCCTGGACTGCAATTCTCCCTTTTATACTTCCTGTAGCTGGGATGACCACACACAACCATAGGTTGAGATGGGGTCTCTATTTTTTTTACCTGGACTGGCCTTGAACTACAATCCTTCTATTTAAGCTTCCTTTCACTTGTTTGACCCTGCACATTTCAATATAATTTCCTCATTTAATTTTAATGTATTGATCAACCAAAGACAAACGGACTTGTTAAATTTATGAAACTACAAAAATTAGATGAGAAAGATTTTATAATCCAAAGTGAGGAAGGTCTTATTAAGACATACACATAAATCAAGGGTTTCCGGGTCCCCCTGCATTCTCAATATGCAGTCTTTCTCTTCTCTTTTCTCCAACTAAATTCTCTGCAAATAAAATCTTTCTGACCTCTGCTTAAAAAAAAAAAAAAAGACATATACATAAATCAAAGGTTATTATTAGGCTATTATTTTTAGAAGGAGAAAGGCTAGTCATTTACATTTAATTGAATTTAATAAATAGAGTATTTCTATATGTTAAAGCCACCATAAGTTAAAAGACATATGATGACTAGAAAAAAATGTGCAACTCATTATCTAATTTTCCTAAAAGATAAAGAACTCATGTAAATTACTAAGAAACAACAATGAATACCCCCTGCACAACAAATATATCCTTATAAAAATGGGAAAAGAAAGAAAGAAAGAAACAAGATTACCAGCCCAACAAGGGGAGAAAAGGGAAAAAGATATAGAAAAAGGGGGGTGGAAATGTGGCTCAAGTGGTAAAGGACTTGCCTGGCAAACTCAGGGCTCTTAGTTCAAATCCCAATACCACCAAAAAAACAGATGTACAGAAAGCTCATGAAATAGAAAGCTACTAATCATGTGAAAAAAAAAATCTTGACTATTTGTAATTAGATAAATGCAAATTACAACTACAATAAGCAACCACTGTTCACCATCAGACTAATAAAACAAGTTTGCTAACACAGCTTGGTCAAGGATGTCAACAAGAAAACAGATAATAATCCTTTGCTGATATGAGTTTGATAACTTCCAGACAGGGGAACTTGGCGATATCTATTAAGACTACAAATGCAACTATTTTAGACCCAGTAATCCCACTTAATAGGATTTAATTCTACACACACACGTAAAATGATACTACACAAATATTTATTGCTGCACAGAGTGCAAAAACAGACTGGAAATCACCGTTTGGTGGATGCTGGTAAATAATAATACCTGTGTTCAATAGAATCCCATACACTTATTTACTTATAACACTGCAACTTGAAGAGTTCTTCAGTGAAAAACAAGGTAAAACAAATGCACAAAGCAATATACACGAAATGCTCTCGTTTTCTGTTTGAAAAAGGGAAAAATATTTGTCTACATGTTAATTTACTTTATATACGGAACTATAACCTCCTAGAAGGATACACAAAATTGAAACTGATATTAGCTGTCTCAGAAGAAGAGACCTGGCTGGTTGGCAGGCAGGGGCAAGAGAATTTGCACCATGTAAACTTTTGTTCCTTTTGAATATTGTTACAATTGAATGTATTACCTATTCAAAAATGTAACATCAGTAATGTTCTTGAGTTAGCTCAATCAATAATGGAACATTCACGAGACATTTTTCTTATTAAAAAATCAAGATAGTAATTTCTAAAATGTCACAAACAATAAACATGTAAGAAAATTCATAAGAGAAAATAACTAAAAAAAAAAAAAACCAAAAGATATATCCAGAAATATTCTTTTTTCTTTTACCTTGCAAGTCTTCACAAATTATAAAATGATAAAAAGAAAAAGAAAATCACTAATTCTATAAGACAGTAATTTCTAATTGAATCTGCTCAGACATTCTGCCAGAAAGTAAAAGGCCACACCCTTGCTTCAATCACAGCAGTTTCGTTTCTATTTGCTCAAGATGTTGAATTTCCTCACTACTTTTTGTTTAAAGACTTTGAAATTAAGTAAATACTTGAAAGCTTACAAATCACTACTATAGAATATTAACAAAAATCTTATATTTTCCAGAATCATAAATTTTCATACATTTCATAAATCTTGTTTTTAAGCAAAAAAGCTAATTAGAACCAAGTGTTTGCTTTAAAATTCTGTATTAATACTTACCTGAAAACTCGCCCATAATTTCCATGTACTTTATATACACCATAGAGTCGATCTGCTACTCTCTGAAATATTTAACAGAAATAGCAATTAGGTTGAAGTTACATGCCAATTACTTAAAAAAAAATTCATCCTCATAATAATAAAACAACCATCCACTCCAAATCATGCCTAGTAAAATGAACTTAGAAAATATAGAAAAGAAAAATCTTAATTTCCAAAAACCCATTGCAAAAAAATACTAAAAACAAAAACAGACTAATACTATCATACCACATTTATCTTATCTTAAGCTTCCATAATTTTATGCATAGTTTTTAAATATGACCTTCAAATTTCCTATAGCAAAAGTAGTAATTTTTATCAAACTGGTTAATATTACGTTTAATAAACACCACATTAAATAGTTGCATAAAATTCCACTGAATAGTGTATAAAATATACAAGCTTCCTTTGCTGGATAACCTTGAGGATATTAGTTACTTCTATTTTTTTAGTACTGTGATGTTACAGTAAGCATCTCTGAGAATAAGCCTTTCTCCTTCAGATTGTTTTCTCATGATAAATCCCCAAAGTGGAATTAACCAGAGGAAAGGACATACATATATTCAATTTAATTGACAGTCTTATACATAAATGTTGAACACTTGCAATATATTCCTATACTACTCTGCCAGGTGACAATAACAAAAGAATTATAATTTAGATCACCGAGGAAAAATGTGTACTGCCTAGTCATTCACATAAATTTTACAAAAAAGAAAACAGAATATCACATATGATAAATAACTTGATTTATTATTCCCCCAAATATTATGGTGTGAACTAGAAGACCAAACACTCATCTAACATAAACCCCTAAGTTTTTTTCTGATATATAGCTTTTAAATATAAGCTCAAAGGATAAATTACTTCCCTGACTCCTTTCTCAAACATAAGTAATTTTAGGAATTAGATATTAACTACACAACCTATCAATCATTTCAAGGTTTCAGCTTAAAGCGAAAGAATCACTGTTGGAGCAGGTGTAAGAGGATAATAAATGGTTTTCCACCTATCCATGTTCTGCTTTGAGGGAACACATACCACAGGGTGGGGGTTGGCACACAACATGTCTGCTGCTAATTTTTATAAATCAGTTCTTACTGGAACACAGTCATGTTCATCCACGTTACTACTGTCTATAGCTGCTTTCATAGCAAAGCTGCACAGATGAACAGGAACCAAACACCCAACAAAGCTGAAAATATTTACTAATCTAGCTTGCAGAAAAAGTTTGATGATGCCTACACTAAACTCAGCTTTCAAGACAAAGTTTGCAGTCCTTATTCCACCTGAAACTCCAGGGTAAATCCAGATAACTAAACTAGTTTCTCTATGACGTCATGTCCCAATTATTTTTTGAGCACTCTACAGTGCGAAATTTTGTTTGTTTTCTTTTCTTTTTTGAAGTGGTTTCAGTTTGGGAAGCTAAAGTTTAACAGGCTCTTTTCTAGCAGTTCTTTTTACACCATGTCTGAATAATGGCTTTTTGAGCGAGAGATGATTTGCAGTAGTGAACATCTTACAGGACTAGTACTCCAAAAACTACATAATGGAAAATGTCATTTTACATCACTAACTTTTCTAGACCCCTGCACTTTTACATATTGAGCATCCTTCCTAAAAGCTGCATTTTTATCATTTTAAGATATTAGGCATAAAAGAGGGAGAGAACTCATTAAATAACCACTTAAGAACAAAACTAGAAACCACATAAGTACACAAAGCAGAGCTAAAATAAATGTTCAAGCCTGGCGTGATGGTGCACATCAATAATCCCAGCAATCAGGAGGATGAAACAGAAGGATCACCAGCCAGACCCTGTCTGAAGGAAAAAAAAAAAAAAGTTCAAAAAAGTTTTGCGAATTGCCATTCGGAAAGCTTGATTGTTTTGAGACAGGGTCACATTGTATAGCCCAGACTGGACTTGATTATGAACTTGTGATCCTCGTGCCTCACTCAGCCTTGTGAGTACTAGGATTACAGGTATACTACACCACACTTGGCTTGAAAGTTTGTTAATGTACATATACCACTCCTGTGGCTGCTACAAAAGGAGCTTCTACCATAGCAAGCAGAACTCTGGAATATAGATTTGTCCACAGAGAAAGACCAAAAGAGACAAGAGTTTTCTTACCACTAAGAGGGAAACAATTCCACATGTGGAGATAACTCTGCTCATGAACTAGACAACATATACTGCAACATTGTTGTTATTGGACCAACAATGTTTCTGGTATGAACTCTTTAAGATGGAAATAAATTATTCCAATCAAATAAACCTGAAGTGATTTTATCTAGATTACTGGGCAGTGAGAAAGAAGATGAAACTAAGAAAAACTATAAACCATAGACCAAAAGTTATGAATTCTAGAAAGAAGGAAAGGCAAAAATGGCCATAAAGTAAAACATTAATGATTAAACCCTGAAATCAGACTGATTCAGTGGTGTTCGTAATCAAGAACATTTGGTGCTAGTGGTAAGGGGCTCTACACAGTGATTTCAATTTTATTCCCGATAATGCTTCCTTTTTGAAAATAGAGCACTAGTCAATTGTCAGGAAAGGAGTGACAATTAGAAAATTCTAAGACAACAAAAGAAATCTGACAGCTTCCACCTGATTATACTTTCTGAACCAGGAACTCCTTCTCTATCCTTTTGAAGGAGTAGGTGACTAAATGTCTTTTTCAGACAAAGTTCCTATGACATGCTATTAGATGATGGTATTTTAAAAATCTGAATACATATAGCTTTTTTCCCCCCTAATTTTCCTAAGGAGTCAATGATTTTGAGACTTAAGACTCCTGATGTGGGTGGGGGTGGAGGCCAGGGGTAGAGGTAGCCCAAACAAGGTATACAAATATGAATAAACATATAAATTTTAAAAACCTGCAAAAAAAAAAAAAAGACTCCTGATGCTTTCTGCTGAAATGGCATTCAAAGAAGTCCTATGTAATACTTCATACTGCCAGCATTAACTAAATGTTTCACAAATACCGCATGTTACCAACTTTATCAATGACTACAAATTAAATGTTTAATAGTAGTCAATAATTATAATTGACATTTTTAGAATATGAGCAAACTTAAATGGCCACCTCTTTCTTTAAAATTTGATTTCCTCTTAAGAGGCAACACAGTGTAGCAGGCAACAAAGAATTTTAAGTCAGACAAATGTGAGTTCAAATACTTACTTTAGGTTTCGGCTTTGGAGAATTTATTACCCCTCTGCAAGCCTTTTTATTTTATCTTTCTTTAGGAGATGTGGCAATGACCCTTACCACATGTCTTTGTAAAGATGAAATAATATTTGTAAGGTTCCTAGCAATAAGCATGGAGGCTCAATGAATATCAGTTTGCTTCTCCTTCACTTTACTTGAGTTCATGTCTCTGCCAATAGGTGCCACTTATGTCTCATTTATAGGTGGGCTCTGGAGGCAGATTTAAAGTCTACATTCTGGCTCCGTGTATCAGTTTACTGAGAGATATAAGACAACTTATTACCTAACTTCACTTACCTCTGTTTCCTAATCTGTAAAATGGGGACAATAACAGCACTATCTTCAAAGGGCTGCAGTGGGAATTAAGTAAGAATATTGTAATTCGTGTGGGCGCCATGACTTAAACACAGTGGTTAAATAAATGTTTAATGTATCAGTATTAGTTTTCTTTTACTTTAGCTCCAAAACACAAATGATCTTATCATCAGTCATAATGCTGCAAGGCACTCATTCATATAGCAAAAAATTTATTTAGTACCTACTATGTGTCAGGCAGATATAATTCTCATTTTCCAGCAAAGAAAACAAACTCTGAAAGGTTACAGGATTTGCCTAAAGAATCCAGTACATAACAGACCAGTTTCGAACTCAGCTATTCTTAGTCTAAGGCCACCTGCCCTTCCGGTTGTTCTGTTTTGACTTCTTAAATATTTAATTCTCACCTATCTATTACTTATTTTTTACTTTTTCATTTCAAAAGCATTGTCCTTGAAAGAGAGTCAAATGATTCTATTTTCTCTCCATCTGTTAACAATTTATCACCTTAGATGTGTGAAACAGCATCTAAGGCTTCTTTGAGGCTTGACACTCTGGCTGTTAGGAAAAGGCCTGTCCTGTGGAGCTTTCTATGAGATCTGCAGACTTCTGTCCAGGAGGACTTTAACCTTCCATTTTTTACTTAATCTCACTTCGCTGTTATTGTACATGTCTGAACTGTCTTTCTCCCAATTTGAGAACACCATCTGAAAACCTAAGTTAATCAGAAGGTTTTAGTCATGTATTTTTCCTTGGTATTTCTCTCACTTACACAGTCAAAATTTCAACTTGACTTACAGATCAAGTGCTGCCTTTCCCTTTAAGACCACAAACTGTGTATCTTTCATGTCAGTAAGAGAGGCCTGTTTTCAAAGAGTTTAAGATAAAACCTACACTCAGAATTCTCTTGATTGATTACAAACTTTGGTGTCAAGGTCTTGTTCTTTAAAGGTTTAAATCTCATACACAAGTTCCCTCTGGTTGGTTACAATAAAATTTAAGAAGCAACTTACTCTTTTTTAGATTTTTTCAAAAGATAAAACTTTTATCATATACCCTCACTCATTTGTTCAATGCATATTTAAGTGAGTGCCTACCATGTACCAGTCCCTATTCCAGGGATTTTATTCCAGGAATTTATAAGTAAGAAAACAAAGCACCAGGTCTTGTGGAATAACACAGAGATAATTTAACAAATGAGCACCAAATACAACATCAATTGGGATACGAAAGACAACAGCATTAATAGGAAATGGTGGACAATGACATTCTATTTTGAATCAGATGCCTAGGAAAAATCTCTTGAAGGCAAGGCACATGAGCCAAGAACTGAATGCCAAAAGAGAGTAAGTTAAGACAGGATGCTAATGGTGAAGAACGGTACAGGCAGAGGAAAGAACAAATAAAAGTCCTAGGGTAGAAACAAGTTGGGCAAGGTTGGGGAAACTTAGAAAGATACAACAGCTAAAGTAGAATGGCAAAGTTACAAGGAATACAAAATCATCTGGGTGGGAGAATCTTTTTAAAAATTTCTTAGCAACACAGTTTTGTCATCTTTAAAGGTTATTTCAATGTTAATCACATTTTTAAATACATTTACAGTAGAAAAAAAATAATCACTACTGTACTTTGCTTTGTGACACTTTTTCTCTCTTGCTTTCCGAAAGCAATCATCCATATCCTCTAGTCTCAATGATCTGCAACAGTCTCACAATGACAATCATTTCTCCTTCCTTTGGATCTCACTTAAATTTGTTCTGTATGCTTCATGGATTTTTCCGAGTGTTTAACTGTACACGTTTTAAAATTTACTCCTCCATCATTGATAGTCCTGATAATTTTGATTCTATTTTTTTCTGAGCATGAAAGACTAAGAACTTCTCAACGCTTTGGATTAGTCGTGTGACTGCTTGATGGTTTAGTTCTGTCTACCCTTGACTCCCTAACCTGTTATCTTGCTGTTAAATCACACTTTACACAGTGTCCCCCCCTTTATTGAAGGACTTTGAGGAGGGATACGGCTTTCATAATTAGTCAGACACTAAGTTAAAAAGATTCTCCCAGTTTTCTAGCCCAGTGCTTTTGAACAAACCTTTTTCAAAAAGGTTTGAATTGCTCTTCCAATGTTCTGGGGGTATCTCTGTCCTGAGCCCCATTTCCCACAAGAATTGCTTCCTAATTATTTTGGGCAATTTCAAGGCAATGAAGGCCTAGAAATTTTACCTCACTAATCTATTCTCCTTTCCAATACCCAGTTCTCAACTCCAGCCTAGTAATCTCACCAGTACCTTTCTTTACCTAGGAAGTATTTTATAATCTAAGAACTCGATTATGATTTGGAAGTACTCTGTCCCCTAATGGTTCATGTGCTGAAAGCTTGGTCCTCAGTAGGGTTGTGTTGAGAAGTAGAACTTTAAGAGGTGGGGCCTTGTAAGAACAAGTTAAAATCCTAAGAGACATTAACTTGGAAGGGATTAATTTAGTTCTCACAGGATCTGAGAAAGCTCATGAAAATGACAAAACTAGCCTCTCTTCAGTCTCTGTCTCCCTGTCTCACCATGTGATCTTTCCCTTCTATACATGCTCGCACCATGACAACATCTGTCATGTTATGATGAGCTCAGTTTCGACTGAACCTAGAAAACTATGAGCTAAACAAACCTCTTATTATTGTTGTTGTTGTAGTAGTACTAGGGCTACATTATGGCATTTATAAAAGTTCTTACCATATCCTAGTTGAATTTACCCCTTTCATCATTCTCCTTTATCCCCCCTCCCCCCATTCAACCATGTTGAATAGTTTCAAAAGGTCTCATTTTTCCATTTTCATACATGAATACATAATATTTCCACCATATTCATCCTCCTACACCCTTTCCCTATATCCTCCCCCTCCCACTGGTGCCAACCCCTAGACAGGACCTGTTTTACTTCCTGCTCGCTGTTTTTGAAAAAAGACATTTTTGTCTGTATAAGATAGCTACACCAAGAGTTTCACTGTGACATTTCCATATATTATAACCCAAATTGTTTCATCTCTCTATTTTTCTCCTTTCTACCTTAGTTCCCTTCTCATGGTGATTTCAACAGGTTTAAAAATTCTGTATTAAACATCTTTTCTTTACAAAGTAAAGGCATTTTGTTATAACAACAGAAAATGGACTAACATATACCCAAAATACTTCTAACAGACTGGCCAATATGAGCATCTTCAGAAAGATTTTCTTCCTATCGTCTATTTATTTTCCTTTTTTTCCTTCAGTAGTGGGGTTTGAACTCAGGGCTTCACACTTGCTAGGCAGACACTCTACCACTTGAGCCACTCCACTAGCCCTGCTTCTCTATACTATGTGTGTGTGTGTGTGTGTGTGTGTGTGTGTGTGTGTGCACGTGGTGCCAGAGCTCATGCATGCTAGGCAGTACTCTACAACTGAGTTACACTGCCAGCACTATTTTTCTATACTATTATGGAAATCTTCAAACATACAAAAAACATGGAGAACAAAGGGCTAGAAATATAGCTCAGAGGTAGAGTGCTTGTCAAGCATGTGTGAAGCTCCCCGGTTTGATCCCCAGGACAGCAAAACAAATAATCAGAGAGTAAAAAGGTATAGCTCCATTTCTCATGAGAATAGACAGCTATACATACACTTCTCAACACCCAGCTTCAATAATTATTATATGGTCAATCTAGTTTCATCTAAAACTGCCCCCGTTCTTATCAGTGGACTATTTCATTAAAGCAAATCCCACACAGTATGTTTCATCTCGAGAGGATTGCAGCCAACATAAAATCTGATTTTAGAACCAAGCCTTTAGCAAAGGCAAGTTCTAAGGTTCCCTCTAGTTACCCCAAAGGATCAGAGTGAATAACACATTTTCCAGGCACATTAATTAAAAGTGGTTTTCTTCATGTCCATTACAGATAAACTATATGGTTAAGTACAATGATTATTCCTCAATTTCTAGTTCCTTTTGTCATGACAGACTGTTGTTATCTCAAATAAGTTTACATAGTAGAACTTAAGAGCATGAATGCAGAACAAGGTACAGCGGTGCATGCCTGTAACTCCTGCACTTGGGAGGCTGAAGCTGGAATATCATGAGTTTGAAGCCAGCCCGAGCTATCATAGTGAGACCCTGTCTCCAAAACAAAAAGAAAGAAAGAAAGAAAAGGACACAGGATGGCCCAATATCCATAAACTATTCCACACACCTTAAAAATGGGGTACTATTATATGCAACCTTGAATCTTACCCTTACTCACATTACAATACTAAAACAATGCGCCTTTTGATAAGCTGTCAGAGCAAGTATACTGTTACAAAGCACAGAGAAAACAATAAGCTGAAGTTCTACAGATTTTTTTTTTTTTTTTTTTTTTGGTGGTACTGGGATTTAAAATCAGAATCCTCACCCTTGCTAGGCAAGTGCTCTACCACTTGAGTCACACCACCAGCTCTTTTTTTGCTTTAGTTACTTTCCAAGGAGGGATTAAAGCTTTTGCCCAGGTGGGCCACAGGCCTCAATCCTCCTACCTATGACCTCCCACATAACTGGGACTACAGATACATGCTGTAAGACCCAGCTTATTGATTGAGATGGGGCCTTGTTAACATTTTGCCAGGGCCGGCCTCAAACTACTATTCTCCTAATCACTGCCACCTAAGTACCTGGGATTACAGGTGTGGGCCATGATGCCTGGCCTCATTATTTCTTTTAAGAGACAATTTGGATGATGAACACACTAAATTGAATATAAAAACCAGTTATTGATCATAAATACCACTCATTACTTAAAAACATGGTGATTAAGTGACAAGCACCTTCCTTATAAGTATGTGTCAAAAATCTCTGGGACAACTTACAGCTCTGACTCGAAGAAGATGTGCAATGACTGACTGCAGCTCGTCACTGTAGTGTTTTAGTTCAATAAATCTCCTGAAACAAGAAACAAATAAAACAACATTTTTGTTTCATGAAAACAAGCAGTCAAAGACTGAAATACAAAATAATAGTTCCTCAGAATAATGAAACTGATTCTAGTTAACCACGTGCTGCTCTGGAACATTTGCAAACCTATACAAAAAATTCTAAAAATAAAACAATTCTTTTTTTTTTGTATTTTGAAAGTCAAGAAAAGATGCTATACTTCATCATTTACATTGTGATAAGATTTAAAGATAAGATTTGTTGGTATGAAAAATTACCTTGAAAACAAAAAACAGGAAAAAATTATGGTACTAAATTTTTTTTTTTACAATGCAACCATAAATTATGTTCTCTATTTTCAGTCTTAATGCTTGTCAATATCCTTGTTTTCCATAAGGACCTGAAGCTTCACAGATAAAACAGACACCATCGGATGGGAATGACCCCTACATCCACCACCTGCCAATCGAATAAAAACTTTCCCATATCTACATCATTTCTTCCTTTCCTCTAGGATGTCTTCCCATTCTGTGCTCTAGTTCTATTCCATGTATATCCCTATATTCCTACCTTCTAATTTCCTCTCCTACAAACTCCTCCTCAGTATGCCAATTAATTCAGGTCTCTCCCAAATTAACACACACACACAGATACACACAGTCACACTTCCTTGACCACACACCCAACTTTGATATGCTCTCAACATCCACGCTTTTACAGCTAAGCTTTCATCAGACATTACCTCCCTAGCAATAGGCACTTCTTCTCTTCCCATTCATTTATTTGTCCTGTTAGAATCTACCTTTGCCTTCAGCACTCTATTGGAGAAATATTCCTGACAAAGTTTTCAACCATTTTCATGTTGCTAAAACCCAATTATACATTTTATTCATTTTATTTCTCTTACTCCATCCTGTTGGCAATGAATGACATCATCCTCAAAAATTTTCTCCACATCAGTATTATTTTCTCATGGTTCCCCTCACTCTTCTGCCACTCCTGAAGTTTCTATTGTAGTATGTACTCATTTCCTTCACCCATCTCTAACATTTTCAACTTGAGTGTACAAAGAATTTCTGAAATGTTTGTTAAAAACACTAATGAGGTCTCTTCAGTAGGAGAGACATAAGAATAACCACAACAATACACAGAAGCCCTACCAGCACTCAGGGGTCAGAATTTATAACAAGTTTATCAAAGGTTTCAGATACTGGTAACCCTTAGGTTAGGCTTTGGCAAACACCCTTCCAGTATTCCTGAGGGTTAGGTCCTAGGTCCTCAGTCTTCTTTCAATGTACCCATTCTTTACGTAACTTGCCATTTACAAAGCTTCACAATTATGACTTGCATGCCGTACATTCCAAATTTCTACCTCCAGCCCAAATCTCCCTCCTGCTCCAGATCTATTACGCCAACTTACCAAAGAACATTTGTAGTGGCTTACATATCCAAAGTTCACCCTATCTGTCCCTACCCACCCCCAATCTCTTTCTGCTGTGCTCTACATAGCACTCTAAAGGGTGAAATCTGAGGGCTACCTGTATTTCCTTCCCTTCTCCTTCACCCCATACCTCTACCAATCACCTAGTCTGTGAATTCTACCTCCTAAATACTGCCCAAACCCATTCACATTGCTCTGGCCTCGAAGTCAATGCCCTAGATTAACATTAGCATCATCACCTTTCACCTGGAATTCTCCTACTGTCCTCCTAGCCCACTCCCACATCACTCTGATCTACTGTCCACTCTGCTTGAATGATCTTCCTGTAGTCCAAATAACTCCTCTGCTTTTAAGCAGGTTTCTTTCTGCTGGAAAGGTCAGTAGCCACTGATCCTGAGACAAAGTCCAAAGTCCTTAATATGGCTTACAAAGCTTTTCACAGTTCGCTTGCATATAGTTACTGTGACTCACCTAAATACAGAAGCAGCTACAAAGCTAAAGACATCCAGTCATTTGATAAAACACTTAACCTCCTCTACTCTTACTCCTCTCAAGGCAGTGTTCTTCAGCTAAGAAATTAATGCAGAAATACAAGGGCTGGCAAGCTTGACTGTCATTAAGCAGAGTAAAAATCCGTATCTGATAGCCCTTTTTACACCCAGATGGAAATGTACTCTTCATTTGTAGGGGGTGGTGGGAAATCCAAACATTGTAAGATTAAAAACAAACAAAAAAAAAGATATAAACCTAAAAGCTAATGAGGCTCTGGGGAGTAGGATGTGAATGGATAAACAGGGATAGGAAGTGAGACTTTTCATTCTATAAACTTTCCATATCTATCAATCTACACATTTATCTGGTTAACCAAGAAAATGTATTCCCTAATCAAACAATATTTTAAACATATAAGTAGCACTTTCCTAGCATCCACAAGGCCCTGGGTTCAATCCCCAGTACCATAAAAAAACAGATAATTAAGCATCTAAATAAAATTAAAAAGAAGAATTTACCTTAGATAACTGAACTGCCAGTCAGATTTGAGCTAGCATAATTTTAATATAGAAGTTAAGATCTGAATTGAAGTATCAAGAGGCAAATAGTTTGTAAAACCCTATCAATCCTTGATCAGATCTTGTGTTGGGGCCCAGGAGCCAGAAATTCTCAAAGATTAGGTCTTAAGTCTTCAGAAACTTCTCTATACTGATAAGGTACATTGTAAAACTTTTTAGCTTCCCAACTCTAGATTGGCATGACTATAAAATTCTTAGTTGTCACACTGGGTTATGAAAAAATTCAGAAGAATGTAAACAGTTTAAGACTAAGAACACCTAAATTAGAGGTTTCTGGAGTAGAAAGGAAAGGTCTTACATATTTGATCATGGAATGCATAAGACAAACCATAGTTTCTCTATCTGATAATTGAGTGGCACAATTTCTTTTGAGAATCTGGCTAGAAGGGAGGGGATAACATCCCCAGGGGATCACATTGCAAGAGACAGAGTTAAAAGATTCTAAATACCTATAATGTTATTGACAAGGACAAAACAGACATCTTTGGAAAATCAGAAGACATGGAAAAATTCACCAAGCCTTAATACCAATGTGTATTTAAGAAATGAATAAATGAATTTTCCAGAAATGAGGTCTGAGTTCTTTGCCAAAGACAATGAAGACTCTTCTACCCTAAACGATCAGATGTTCTTAGCGAGATTAAAGATTAAAAAGTGTCAGAATGCTACAGGCTCACTGGAAAGGAGGGAGTTAATGAAGACAGGCCAGACTGAGGAGACAGTGATATAAAACTTCCCTTCTAAAATACTAAAATTCTAAAATCCCCGTCTACAAGGCATGTAAAAAATCAACATATAAACACAGATTCTAATAAGACTGTAAGTGTGAGGTTGTCTATACCTAATAAATCTCATTGCCTGAACCGACTTTATTTTCTATTCTCAAAACAGCCCCACCACCACTGCAGGGTCTATGCTCCCCTTTCTCCATATTCTGCTTTTACTTGCTTGCAGTCATCCCTTCGTCTAAACCTGGACATGTGCCTCTCCTAATCATATCTCATTCACTATTCAAGACTCATCTTGAAAAGAACCTATAGGAAGGCTTTGTTCAACCTCATAGACTAATGGCACAAACACAGTTTGAGGTCTAACTACTGTCTATTTGATATTGCTTTCATATTTTCACATGGCTTTAGTTTTCTCCATTCTACTACACTGAAAGTATTTTGAGTCATACAAATTCTCTTTTACTTCTTTACACTTGTACAATCAACTGTTACCTAAAATAAAGCCCTGAAAGAAAAGGAACTCAATGAATTCTAAAAGTCTCAGTGACTGTGAGAAGAAACAAATGTCATTGTGCTCCCCACTCTCCTCTTCCAGTTTCTGCATTTTCAGTTCCTGTCTCCCTGCCTATCTGTGAGAGTTCTTAATATGGTACCTTGAGCTGCTTGAAGAGAACTCATTGTATAAATTTTTCCTCTCTATCCATACGTCTTACTCCCAAACTCGATATAGGAAAGTGTTCCAACCTGATAGTTTGGAAACTCAAGGGATAACCTGAGTTATTCCTGCCCTTCTTCAAAAAAAAGAAAAAGAGAGAGAGAGAGACTGATGATTTTATACATGATTTAACTGAAGTCATGCAATTCTGTTTTTTTCAGTCAAGAAAAATTGACAACTAAAGCTGTAGTAAATGAAACCTTTACTAGGCAAGGTAGCACAGGACATGAGAGGTTAGTATTATTATTTCTGCAAGAAATAGTAGTTTTAAAAGTAACTATTTAAATAACTTGTTACTTCTTTAATCTGATAGGTTTACCACCTACATTTTAATGAGTTTATTTGTAACATAATATAAGGAGCCAAAAAGTGGACATGAATAAACCTTAGGTGCATATCTTTTAAGAAAAACACCCAATCAATGCAATGCAAAAAATTACAGCCAGGCACATTACAGCTCACACCTGTAATCTTAGCTACTCAGAAAGCAGAGATCAGGAGGATCTCAGTTTGAAGACAACCTAGGCAAATAGTTTGAAAGCCCCCCATCTCAAAACTACCCAACACAATGAAAGGCAGGTGGAATGGCTCAAGTGGTAGACCGCCTGCCTAGTGGAAGTGTGGCCTTGAGTTTAAATTCCGGTACCATCAGAAAAAAAATTTTAAAGGCATCTATAGAGCCCCGAAGGCAACATTCAAGGCAAAAACTCTAAGGTTTCCTCCTCACTGCTTTTAACAGACTAGATTGGGAAAAGATAAACATGTATGAAGCAAATACAAGAAGAAACATTTGGTAATTTTTCTGAACTCTAATTTTTTGGATTTTTAGAAAGAAAAGAATAAGACTGTTTTGTGATTCAAACTCTTAATAATGGTATGAGCCCTCTAGATCTAGAACAGAGGCATCTACATGTTAAGAATCTGTTATAACAATGACCACCACAGGTAATTCTCTTTTCTAGAATTTAAGGCAAATAAATTTTACTACCAACTATGTACTAATTTTATATTTTAATAGGAATGTAAAGGCAAAACTCTGCCTTGGCCATATTATTGGTTATATCAGGTTTAAAATTCTACATACAAACCAGGCTCAGTGATTTACGCCTGTAACCTAGATACTCAGGAGGCAGAGATCAGGCGGATTGCAATTTGAAGACAGACAGGGCAGAATAGTTTGCAAGACCCTATCTCAAAAAAAAAACAACAAAAACCATCATATAAAAGGGCTGGTGGAGTGGTTTTAGGTGTAGGCCCTGAGTTCAAACCCCAGTACTGCAAAATAAAATAAAATTCTACATACAATATGGATAGTAAATAAAATTCAGCAATTTAGATTACTCTAGAAGACCAGAAAAAGGGAAAAAAAACTTTAACTGACAAATTTTTTTTTCTTGAAATTGAAAATTTAATGAAAATGTTCAAAAAATAAGGTATTAATAAAAATAAAAGTAGCTATTTGATCTTCTAACAAATATACATCCACCAAAGTCACAAATTTAGTTTATGTTTTCCAAAGCTTTTTTTTGACAATGACTTGCAATTTTAGTTCTTAATCTAAAGAACACCTCTTATGCATGGTGCATGTCCTTACCATACTTATAAACACTTCAATGGGACCTTAAATACATTTACTAAATGAAAGAAGCCAATCTGAAAGGTTATTTACTATGTAATATGACATTGTTAAAGAGGAAAAAAAAAAATACCTATGGAAACAAAAAGCTTAGTGGTTGCCGGAGTTGGAATAAGGAAGGGATTAACAAGTAGAGCACAGAGATCTTTTAAGACAGCAAAATTCTTCTGTAAAATACTACAATAGTGCTTATATGTTATTCCAAACCCACAGAATGTGCAGCAAGACCGAACTCTAATACAAACGATGAACTTTGAGTAATAACACTGTCAACCGTAGGTTCACTGATTGTAACAAATACAGTACTCTGAAATGGGATGTAGACAGTGGGAGAAGGTGTGAGGGAGAAGAGATAAGAGAGGTATGTGGGAACTCTATACATTCACTCATTTCTGCTGTGAACCTAAAACTGCTTTTAAAAAATAAAGTCCACTATAAAATGAAATAAAATAATTACCATCACAACTTCCAAATTACCAAAACTTTAAAATAGTCACTTATGCTTGGTGTGGTGGCTCACAACTATAATCCCAGCACAAAGGAGGAGGATTGTGAGTTTTGAAACAGAGAGACTCTGTCTCAAAAACAAACGAACATTTATATTCAAAGTTTATATTAAAAATAAGAGGGGTTGGGGGTATAGCTCAGTGGTAGAGTACTTGCCTAGCATGTAAGAAGCCCTGGGTTCCATCCCCAGCACCAGGGAAAAAACATAATCTAGTTTAAAAGTCAGAGATGACAGGTCATCAAAATATGCACACTTAGCCTTTATTTGATAAGAATTTTTTTACTACTGAGAAATTCATGCTGAAGGACTTACTTGAGAAATTCTAACAGATCTCATAAACTTCTCTGAAAACAGAGAAGCCTCAAGTCTAAGCACATTTCTAACTAAAAACTCCTCTAGCTGAAAAACTGCCAGGTTAAAGGACCATATAATGAAGAGCCTAAACTCTCCACCAAACTTAAGCAAATGAGCAAAACAAAAAAAAATATCTAAGTCTTACCCTAAGGAATCGTTTCTGACTACACAGGCTTCCTTTAATATAGAAATGTTCTCACAAGCAACAAACTGACACTAATGAAGCCAAGTACTTTAATGAAAATACATCTCTATGAAATCATTATGCTGGTATGCATTATCTATCAAGTTTTCTTGGCATAATAGACAGATTACTCTTAAATATATAATATGTAATTTTCTTAAACTCTGTACATATTTGATAAGCAAAGTCAAACAAGGAAAACTACATGAAATTAAAATTACTTTTCTCATTTTTCTGATACACTCAACATTTAATGAATCCTTCTAGAAAAAAAGCAATAGTTTAATTTTCTAAAATTTCAGATACTTACAACCTTAAGCTAAATTAAGTTACTGATTTCAAAACAGTTTTAGACTTTCAAAGGATTTCACTAAATGTGAGTTACTATTTAAAATATTTAGCAAATAAAGTGCATACATTCAGAAATGAAAAATTAAATAGATTGATAGGCACCATTCAAAACAACATTGTAACTGTTATTAAAACAAAACCTTACTTGTCTGGGTTTTTCACTCTGAATGTTGCATTAAGCGCTTTTAACCTGGAGTCTGCCTGGAAAAAATAATTTGTTCACTTAATACAATTACATTTCAGGGTATAAAATTCAAACAGTTTTACTTTCCCTTTAGAGTTAAGATGCTCAAGTACAATTTTCTTCATATCAAACACATTAAACACACCTAAAAAGAACAGCTTTGTATTTCTTTTGAGAACACTACACAAACATGTTATAACTAAATACATAGCACTCAATGATTCTACAGTAAAACAACTACAAACACCAGTACACTAGTAGGCATATAGTTGTGCATTATTATAATTCAGAATAAGTTATGGGAAAAAAGTCATTTTCCTTTTCTTTAAACTAAGAAAAGCAATGATTTGCATCTATAAGCTAAATAAAACTACTGCTTTAGATACTATGCACTACTGAGGGTTCTCTGAGGGAATCCAAACCAAGTATGTCTTGGTTTTCCTATCAATATTTCAGAAAAAAATGGAAAAAACCTTCATTAGAGTAATATTACACTAAAAAAAAAAAGCAAGCTGCCAATCCAACTTAGCTGACATCAAATTACTTTCTAGTTAGCAGAAAATGTATAAAATAATACTTCTCCTTAACATTTTTACTCATTTCTAGATAATAGTCTTTGCGATAAACATTACATGAAATGTATACTTAACATCCAAATCCTACCCTAAGTTCTCATTTAAAAGAAAAGAAAAAGCCAACCAAATAACTTTTCTACCCAAAGTACAGGAATTACAGCATTCATTATAAAGGTAGCTCAATCAGTAATCAATTTCAAAATATAGTTTAGTTTTTAAAATACCCATAATCTTGAAAATTTTACATTATTCCAACTTTCAACCCACATTTACAAACACTCTCAATTAACATAATATATAAAGCAAACCAAAAACACTACTAGGACTTCCCAGATTACTTGGCTAAGAAAATAAAAACAAATGTAACCAATATGCCTCTCCACAAACCCAGGCTTCTACAACTCCAGCTTACTTTATCACTAATTCTAGGTGATTCTCTTATTTCTCAAACTGATATTTCACCCATTCTCGACCTTTATCAAGGACAAATAAGGCTAATCCATGTGAACTTTCTTGCAGATAAAAGCACCTATGAATTTAAGGCACATACAATACTAATATCACTGAACACCCAAAGAGTTCAAATATTAATGATTTTAGTTGAAATTACATAAAAACAGAAGTTTTCATTTGTATCTTTTCTCAAATCTCATACTTTTTAATACTACCAATATATTTCACTTACTTATATCATCACCAATTTACCAATTTATAAGCCATATAAACATATAAGGTAATCATCTTCATCTTTGCTCACCAAACACATTCTGTCAGGTTAGGTCCATTACCACACCCAACTCAATCTGCTCATTATTTCACAAGATTTCACATAAAGGGAAACTGACTAAAATGTCACCAAAGCAGAAACTTTCCCCAAAGCTGAATCTCTGAAAAATTACCTGGGCTATTCCAAATCAACCATTCACCTATATCAGATTCTCCATCAAATACTTAAAAGATGTCCCCTTACCTAGGATTGTTTCATGACACCCTATTCTATTGCCTTTGAAACAGTATTACCTGTACCTGAAATCACCTTGCTTACTTGTTTCTTGGCTGTCTGTTTCAATGTAAGAGCCATAAAAAAGCACAATGTGAATGGTGGCCCTGGAGTTGCACAAAGGCTGCTATGACAATACTTTTATCTGCTTTGTTTACCTGGCCTAGTAAGTACTTTCTCTTATACTGCTCTTCTTTGGCCTCTGAGGCTGACTCACTGCAGGTCTCAGCTCAATGCTATCTCTTGGAGGGAGTGACCATGTGATCATTATGCCCAAACAGTCCTGCTTTATGCCCTTTGTCTTAGTCTTATTTCTAATAGTACCTCTTTTTACTCTCAAAAGGGTTGGTTTGGACAGTAAATTTTATGGACACTAATCTTAAAGTAACTCCTAAAAAATAATCCTTTACTGTCATATGAACAATGATGATGCTTTATTTTCTGTATGCCACTTATGATTATTTTAAAGTATCTTTTATTGAAATGATAATTTAATGTCTTTAACCACTAAGTTATACACACTATTAATAAACATGGAATTTATTAATGTTTCTAGCTCATTCTTCACTGTATCCACAATACTCAGAAGAGTACTTCCCTCTCTGCAGTCACCCAACATTTAGAATTTCCACACTGGCTGTCTTGGAGTTCCTACACAACAGAAAGATCCTAAGGGCCCAGCCCTTGGCTCTGGCAGTCCCTGCTTCATGCAAGAAAAAACAGCGTTCCAGAATCTTCTGAGTTAGCCTATGTTCACTTTGGGGGCATGTGGAAGATGTGTAGTCTCCCGAGTTAGCTGAGTTAAAACAATGTTACCTTGACTAAACTAATTTATATGTTCATTACATATAAATAAATTCTACGGATTTATTCTCTGCTCTCCTTTCACTGAATTAAGTAGCATGAGTATATAAATGTTTAAAAATGAATAAATTCTTTCCTCTCCTTTCATTGAAGGTAAGTAGCATGAGTATATAAATGTTTAAAAATGAAGGAATGTCAACAATCAGCAATGATAAAAAAAAATTGGTTGCTCATGCTTCTATTAAATAGAGCGCCGATGAAAAGAAATGAAATTTTGTAATTATTTTGCTGGGTATAACACTGTAAAAAGACAAGAAAATCTAATCAAGTCAAAACTATAGATTACATTAAACTGAGCCTAGAAAAAAGGAAAATTAAAAGAAAGCTGGAATTTATCAATTAGAGGATGACAATCTGACAGCCAAGGTCAACTATTCTTATAGGATATAAATATTTGATCTGATTCACAGAAATACAGCTTTTGACATTTCTTTTACCAACCATCTTTGGATGCATTAGCTACATAATGAATATGTAAAAAAAGGCAGTAATATAGATGGTAATTAAGAAAGGCTTTGAGTCAAACAAGCCTAGAGTTGGATTCAACTCCGTCATCTGTAACTATGTGACACTGGTAATGTCACTTTCTACAGTTACTCATTTAAAAAATGGAAATACTAACTAACCTCAAAAGTACTAGGCAATACTCAGCAAAATAAGACAGTACAATTACAATTACATAATAAGCATTTATGATAGTCATGCTATCTGGAAAAGAAACTCACTGCTGCAGATTCTAAAGAAGTTTGGTTTTCCTTTTTTACCACCTCAGACAATCTTTCTGAAATGACTGGCGGGGAGTATACCTCAGTGGTAGAGCACATGCTCTGCATATGTTCAAGGCCCTGGATTCAATTCCAAGCACCAAAAGGCAAAAATAAATTAATTAATGAATAAACAAACAAATATTTTCCTCAACATCATCTCTATCACCTTACAGCAACAGTTGTCAAATTTTAGGCCATAAAGGGAATCAGAATGTCTGGGATCGCTTGTTTTGAAGAAAGCATCTTGACAACTGAGCTGAATGCAGTTCATTGGGCACACACTGAATTTAGAGAACTCGGCAAGCATAAGTCCACTTTTTCTTGGGTAGGGGAGATTACACAGATATATAGGTCTCATGCCAAATGCACCTATATCTGTGGTGTCTCACCTCATACCTATGCTCCCTCCTTCTTTTTGCTTCAGGCTCAGCTGTCAATGACACTATTGTTGAAGTATGCCTGTCTCTAGTGGTACTCATTTTTTAGATCTTTTTAATTTTTTGCTAAAATATGTTGTAGCCTAGAGAATAGATAGTTAAGTTTATCTGAATAACAATGATAAAATTAAGTGGGGCCTATCTAAGAAGAACAAAGTATTTCAAAAAGTTTAGTAGTTGGCCACATTACATTTCATTTGAACATTTCAGAAGTCAGTTTTGCTTAAATCTCAGCTTCCAACTGTGATCACATTATTGGTCACTGCCAAACACATGACCCCCAGACAAGTGAAACATGATACTATATATACATGTCTGTGCATATACATGGGAAACCTCATACATATGCATGTATGTACATATATATTTATGTGAGGTTGTCTAACAAGTTCCCATTTCTTGATGGAAGGAAGGACTTAATACAAGAAACACCATAACAAAATAAGGGATAAAGTAAAATATATCAGTTCCTGAATTCTCTCCATAAATTTTATTGCTGGCCCATTTAATTGTAAGTCTGAACTTTTGAATTATTAATACTATATATTAAGTATTTCCTTTCAAATACTTTATAAAAGTGAAACCCAGGTTTTTAACCAGAAGGCTACCCAAATACAAAGCATTACATCTAAACACTTATATAGCCCTAAACATAAGATTCAAACACCCTGTAAATAGTATATTCTTCAATAGGGAGAAACTCAAGTGTTTTCTCAAGGTCACCAAAGTCACGGCCCAAAACTGAGTTTAAGGACAAAGTACAAATAATTAAAGTGATTAAACTAATGACTAAATCAATGACTAAAAAAAACTTAAACTTCCTATTACATAAAAAAAATTCACCAAAAATAATTGTATTTTAGTTCTACTTTTCTTTATCAATAGCTTTTAACATATCTTTGAATATTTCTCAGAAATTAAAAACCCTAACAAAAAATAAAGCATTTTTTAAAGTTTTATTTCAAACCCATCCATAAACTAAAATACCAACACTCCCTCTGAGTGTCATAAAGTGATGAATTATAATCAATAAAACTCTATATTTTTTTCATGTGCATCTACCAACAAAATACTTAACAAATTAGAATCACTTTGTGATAGAATTTGAAAACTGATTATGTTTTCTGTGCAGGAAATTTTCTCTTTCTAGCTTATTTTATACTAAATTTCAAATACCTATATGCCAATGCATAAAGCTCTAGATGTTTTTTAAATTACTAAACAGATTTTGATCTTCTTGCCTGGACCTACTGTATTGAGGTTTTAGTATTATGTTATCATGTGAATCATTTATCAGCTTAGACTGCATCCAAGTTGAGTATCTCTTACCTAAATACTTGTTAAATACTTGTTCAAAAGTGTTAAAGAGCTTGGAGGCTCTTTTTTTGATTTTGTGATATTTTCATAGACTAATAAAACTAATAAAAGTTGAGCTTCCTTCGAATCCGAAAAAAATCCTAAAAATCTGAAATCCAAAATACTCCTAAATCCAAAATTTTCTGAGAGATACTGCCCAAAAAGGTTCAGATTTTGAAGCATTTAGGATTTCAGATTTTTAGCTTAGAGTGCTCAACCTGTACTATATAAATTTATATTATAATTGTCTATCCAACTACTCAGTTTATACCAGAGATAAAAATGTTTTAAAAGTTTGCAATAGCCCACGTTAGATTGCTTTGGTAAAGATCTGGAAAGCAAGTGAGTTCAGTAGCTATCTCACCACTACTACACTTCTCAATTTTTCGGTAACAATCTTACTTCTAAACACTAATTTTAATGACTACATTTGCAAAGCTGTACAAAAACTAAATAAGTCTGTATCACTAACAGATGCTATTTCAATGTGACTCCTGAGTCCATTTCAAACTGGTGACCATGTCCCAGAAGAAGCATGACCAAGGACTCTCTTTTAGTCCCTAAGGCTGGAAAACCCAAACTTGGGTCTTGAGAAATATCTGTCATTTCTGACAGAGTGAGCAACTGTGGGAGGCAGGGGTACAAATGAAATGGTAGGGACAGAGGGAATTAAAAATGTAAAAGTACTACCACACTGTGAGATGAGCCTGTATATAAATTATTACTTCCAAAGGCTTTTTCCTAATAGAATACATTTGTTCATTATAATCCAACTAGTAACTAAAATTACACAAATGAAAAGTGAATTGCAGTTTTTCTTTGAAAACCTTACCAATGATTTTAGATGTAAAGCTGATTTTCAACATTTACTCATTCAAAAAGATACAAAATACCCAGTAAGTCCACAGTACCTGCTGGGAATTCTAAAGGAGCATGGCAAACTACTTCACACAAGTATTCTTACCTTCAGTTGAAATCCAGTTTCATTCACAGTCTCCTTCCAGTTACCTTCCTAAAAATTAAAGTTAACTTTAGAAATCATCACTATAAAGCAAAACGGCCCATATACACTTTTCCACATTAAATAAACTGAATACCTACCATTCCATTCTTTTTTCAAGAGATGGAAGAGAGTGGTTAAAAAATTCTTTTCACTTCAAAATTAAAAATGCCAATGTGGATTCCAAAAAACTAATCAAACACGGGCTTCAAAAACTAAACACTTAATTTTTGGCAGTACTGGGGTTTGAACTCAGGGCCTCTATCAACCTGAGTCACACCTCCAGTCCTTTTTGCTTCAGGTCTTTTCTGGATAGGGTCTTCTTGCTTTATTTCCCTGACTGTCCTCAAACTGTGATCCTCCTGATCTCTGTCTCCTGAGTAGCTGGAATTATAGAGGTATGAGATATCACACCCAGCCTGAAGACTTAATTTTTGTATCTTTTAAATAATACCAGAATTACAGCCTTAGTATCAAGTATAAAACTGTTTAGCCAAAAGAATGATATAATCCAGTAATTTGAAATACAATATCATAATTAACCAAATAAAACACAACAAATTACATATAAAAAGCTGCTCCAAAAGGATCTTTAAGAAAAAGTATTTTGTCATTCTTACTCTAGAGACAACCTCCTGTCTGTCTATTGAAAGTGTATTCCTTTCCTGCCAGGCACCAGGGGCTCACGCCTATAATCCTAGCTACTCAGGAGGCAGAGATCAGGAGGATCGCAGTTCGCAGCCAGCATGGGCATATAGTTCTGTGAGACCCTATCTCAAAAAAACCCTTCACTAAAAAGGGCTGGTGGTGTGGCTCAAGGTATAGGCCCTGAGTTCAAGCCCCAATACTGCAAAAAAAAAAAAAAAAAAAGTGTATTCCTTTCTTAATAAACTTTTCTATTGTTGTCACTATTTAAAAGAATAAGCTTTCTATGTTTAAGAGAAAAAAAATTCTAAATTCACGTGAGTATTTTTAGAAAACTAATTAAAAGAAAAGTACCTGTGTTAAAAACAAATAGAAGATTTTGTCTCTACAAAGGATGGGATGTGAAGCAACTCTCAAGAGGAAGTTTTCTAAACCAATCCGTCGTCGCTCCACAAAATCCGGATCCATGTTGTCAGCAGAGAGTTTGTGCCAAACAAATTCTGCCTAGGTAAACAAAACAATCATTAAGACTAGTCTCAATGCTGAACACTTCTAAATGACTGCCATTGGCTTCTTACCCGTTTTTCTGGTAGAGGTGGCACAACAATATGTGGATAGTAAACTAAAAGGTAGTTTCTCAACAACTCAAACTCGCTGTATCGCCTCCACAGTGAGTCTGTTAAGACACTCTGACCATCAGTATGCTCAACTGACCTGAAAAGGAATGGAGGGACATTTCTATTTCTTATTAGAAATAAAAATACATACACAACCTACTTTAAAATCTATACCTGTGTTTACTGAATGCTCGTGAACCAGGCACTGAATAGGAACTTTCAAGTGATTTCTGTGAGACAGGGATTTGCTATGGCCGTTTTACAGAGGAGGAGGCAGCTGCACAGTATATGCTCTGCCTGTCATCACAGTACCTGTGGGTGCAGCACTGAGGTCCACCTCACTCCAAAGCTCACACACCTAAGTACTTCCCTTCTGTTAGAAAAAACCTATTGGAACTTAACAGACAGTTGTATAAGGAATATTCTAAAAGCCTCAATGTAGGATAACTGACTTTACAATATGATAAAAATTTGGCTACTTAGTGTTTTATTAAATAAAAAGTATTTTAAACTTCACTACAGCTACAATGAGAGAACACTCTCAATGAGAAAACAACAAAACACAAAACACCCAAAACTTAAATTCAGGTTACAAATAAATCAGATGAATCTGGAATCTGAATACCAGGAGATATCCACAAGAGCAAACTATTAGCTAATTCTAAAATGGCTGGGAAGAGAGAGCAAAAAAAAAAAAAGAAAAGAAAACCACCTCTGTCATACTTTTAATTATAAAGAGCTGACAGGCAACACCATGTTTCAATTTACAGTTGGGATAAAGTTAGGGTAAATCATACAAAGGATATTTTAAAGTGTTTTGATTACTGAGGATGTCTGCTACCATCAACACTGCTAGAAAGCATAAGTTTTTAAAACATTATCAAGATCTTATTTTCTAATTATTTGCTTGTCAAGAACTTATTTGCCCACCAAAAAATGCATATACATCCACAATCAAAAGCCACTGATGCATTCCTACATACATTTATTTATTTATTTACTTATTTACTTATTGATTGATTGCCGTATTGGCATTTGAACTCAGGGCCCCAGGCTTGCTAGTCAGGTGCTCTACCACCTGAGATACTCTGCCAGTCCTCCTACCTAAAGACATATTCTCATGCCTATTTTAAGAGTCAATCACTTATGAACAGGAATACGCACACAAAACCTGAGGGAATTAAAAAACAGTGGCAGACTTATTCAATCTGTCTACTAAACTACACTACAGACAACAGCTACCAGAAAAAGCTTTCTACCTAAACCTAAGCCTAATTCTCATTACATACCTTGTTTCAATGAGGTAAGCAGTATAAGTTTCTTGCATATTCATGGCATTTCTTCCAGTTCGCTTTTCTGCTTCTGAAATACTGATCTCTATCTTCTTCAACCAGAAGTTATTTTCTGTCATCTGGACAAAAATAAATGGAACAACAACAACAACAAAAAAAAACCCTCTAAGACAGTATTGATAAATGAGGGTAATAGGAGTGGTAGATATGATCAAAGTACATTTATAGGCATGTATGAAAATGTTATAATGAAATCCATTATTTTATACAATAAATATACACTAAGAAAAAGATGGTATTGAAACCAACAGCTGTTTTGATAAACCCATTATCAGTACATATAGTTCTTATATTTCTTGTATTGCCAGGGGCGACTAAATGACAACAAATGGCAACCATTCTTTATAAACATCCTGTAGTACATTAACTGTTTCAGAGATATTTTAATAATTACTATACATGTAATTACTGAAATTTAGACATTTCATGTAAGTGACCAAGAATAAATCTATATAGAAATGCATAAGGGGGGTGAAGGGTGGTGCCACAAACAATGTATACACATGTAAGTAAATGTAAAAACAATAAAATAAAAGGAGAAAGATTAAAAAAAAAAGAAAAAGTCAGGCTGGTGGTGTAGCTCTGTGGTAGAGCATTTGTCTAGCATGTGTGAAGCCCTGGGATTAATCCTAGCCCTGAAAAAAAATGTCTAAGATACATTATATGAGGATTCTGAGAAGATGGTGGAATGGGAAGCACCAAGAATCTCTCTCTAGACAACAAACGTACTGGTAGACTCTGTCCGATGTTATTTGGGAACTCTGGGGTCTGAAGAAGGCTTGGATGACAATGTGTGGCTTACAGATCACTTTCAACTCTTAGCACAGCGGCAGTTACCTCACACCCATGTGCAGTGTTCCTGGAGTAACCAGCGCACAGCTTGTAGGAGCTAGGGTGGGCAGGAAGGACCCTGTCCTCCAAATACCAAGGACTTGTCCTCTGATTATTGATGGCTGCTTTCTAATAACAGAGGCAGAAAAAATAGATGGTGGCCATTGTTGCTGTATCTCCCTTAAGGGTGCAAGCCTCTCACCCTAGGCTAAAGTGACTTTCAAGGGACTTAAAGGGCCAGAACCCCCAAGCCGTGCTTTTTTGCTTTCTTTCATTTTTGTATTTTCTCCCTCTTGAAAGCCAAATGCTAAAAATCTGGAAATTTAAAAATAATTAGAAATATAAGGAAAATTTGAAAATGACCACATTTTCTAATTTCTAATGCTCAGGAAAGACCTAAGAGACTCTAAGTTTACACCTCAGACTGATCTTTGGTGCAGAAACAGCCTACAATAACCAAAAAATTCAAATGTAGTAACAAACCCATGAAACCCCGGGGTAGGAACAGAATCTGATTTCTTCAGTTACCACTAAGTCAAATGTCCTTTTCAACAACAGCAAAAATCAAAAGACGTGCAAAGATAAGGAAAATATGGCCCAAAGGAAAAATAAATAAATAAATAAACAGAAACTGTCCCTGAGGGCTGAGGGTATGGCTCAAAAAAAACCTAAAACTTAAAAAAAGCCAACTATTCCTGAAAAAGACCTGATGGGAGATCTACTAGAGAAAGTCTTTAAAACAACTATGTTCACCAGCCATGGTAGCTCATGTCTATAGTCCCAGCTACTTGGGAGGTGGACATTAGGAGGATCATGGTTTTAGGCCAGCCCAGGCACAAAGTTAGTGAGATCCCATTTCAACCAATAGCGGGGTGTGGCGGCACAAACCTGTCATTCCAGCTATATTAGAGGAATAAATAGGAGGATTACAGTCCAGGCCAGCCCAGGCAAAAAAATGTAAGACTCTATTCGAAAAGTAACTAAAGTAAAAAGGGCTGCAGGGCATGGCTCAAGTAGTAGAGCACCTGCCTAGCAAGTGTGAAGTCCTGAGTTCAAATCCAAGTACTGCAAAAAACAAACCAAAAAATTTATCTTAAAGATTTTCAAAGACTAAAGTGAGATGTGAAGGTCAAGAAAATGATGTATGAGCAAAATGGAAATATCAGTAGAGACAGAAAACGTAAAAATCAGTAATAAATTCTAGCACTAAAAAGTACAGTAACTAAAATAAATAATACTAGAAAGATTCAAAGGAAGATCTGAAAAGGTACATGAAATAATCACCAAACTGGAAGACTGACAAAAAGAAATCATCAAGTCAAAGGAAAAGAAAGAACAAAAGATTAAAGGGAGCAGAGTATAGAGGACACCATCAAGCAGACCAACACATACAATGTGGCAATCTCAGAAGGAGACAGGGGAGAGGGAAAGGGAAGGAATCTCTGAGGAGATAAAGTCTAGAAACTTCACAAACTTGATTTCAAACAACATAAGAACAAAATCCAAGAAGCTGAAGAATGTCCAAGTAAGATGAGGTCACTGGGATACATGTCAATCAAACTTTTCAGAAACAGAATCTTGCAAGCACCAAGAAAGAAGCAGTGATCACAAAGAAGGAATCTTCCACTAATGAGATGATTAGTGGATTTATCATCAGAAACACTGGAGACTGGGGGTGGGGGAGAGGTGGCACAAACTATGTATATATATGTAAGTAAATGTAAAAATGATAAAAGGAGAAAAAAAGAAAAGAAACACTGGAGATTAAAGGCAATGGGCTGATGTACTAAAAACAAAACCAGCCAAGAATCCTGTATCTGGAATAAAGACATTCTCAGATAACCAAAAATGGAAAGCATTTGCTACCATTAGACTTGACCTATAGAAAATGCTCAGGAAGCCCTGCAAGGTTCTGTGAGACCCTATCTCAAAACCCTTCACAAAAATAGGGCCAGTGGAGTGGCTCAAGGTGAAGGCCCTGAGTTCAAGCTCCAGTATGGCAAAAAAAAAAAAAAAAGAGTGTAAGAGACTAATAGGTTAATAAAAATTATTAGTGTAAAAGCTAGCAACTTTGTAACTTTGGTTTCAACTCCACACTGTTTTACATACATACACATGTACATACATGCCTCAAACTCACAATTCTCCTGCTTCCACTTCCTTGAGTGCTAGGATTACAGGTGTTCCCCATTGTGCTGGGCTAGTTTCCTATATAATCTATGAGACTAAAGCATTTAAAAGAATTGTTAGTTTTGTTTTGGGGCAATAACAGTAAAGGACATAATTTAGTGACATTAATAATCAAATGGGCAAGCACAAAGCTACAAAAGAGCAAATGCTGCATGTTACTAAAGTTAAATAACATACAGAAATAAAAAGTATAAATTCAAATTAGAGTGTCATAACTTTAGGATGTTAAATGTAATTCCTATCATACATACAAAAGAAAATAGCCATAGAATACATACCTGTGGAAATGAAAAAATATTTAAACATTTCACTACAAGAAAATTACTAAATACAAGTGAAAACAGCAATGCAGGAAAAGAACAGGTGTAAGAAAACAAACAGCAAAATGACAGAAGTCTTTCATTATCAATAATTACTTTAAATGTAAATGGATTAAACTCTCCAATCAAAAGAAAACTAAGCAGAGCAAATAAAAAGTCATCAAATTTTATTCTGTATACAAAAGACACATTCTACAAAGACACAAGTAGACTGAAAGTGAATGGATGGAAAAAGATATTTCATGCTTGCCTAGCACACACAAGATCCTGGGTTTGATCCCAGCACTGAAAAAAGAAAAAATAAATGCCAGCTACATGTTGGCACTTCAGCACTTGGGAGGCTGAAGCAGGAGAATTGAGGCAGCTTAAGCTACACAGTGAGACAATGTCTCAAACTCCCCCTCAAAAAAGAGCTTATATAAAGAAGAACTAATATTAATCTTTCTTAAACTTTCCAAAAAAAGGGACGCTTCCTAACTCATTCTATGAGAAGGAGCATTACCCTTAAACCAACCCAAAAACGCTGTAAGAAAACTATAGACCATTATCGCTATGAACAAAAAATATCCAGACTTCTATTCCCAGCACCAAAAACAAGAAAAATATCCTCAGTAACAGAAAAACAAACAATGCCACTCAACAATGGGCACAGGAGTTGAACAGACATTTCTTCAAATTAGGTATACAAGCGGCCAATGAGCACATGAAAAGATATTCAATATTACTAGAACTTAGAGAAATGCAAATCAAAAATACTATGAAATATCACCTCACGTCCAGTAGAATGGGTACTATACAGAAAAACAAAACAAACACAGACTCTTAACACTAACCGTATTTTAAAAAAAACAAAACAAACTAAAGACCTGAAGCTATTAGAAGAAAACACAGAGAAAATGCTTCCCATTAGAATGGGCAAGATTTTCTTGGATGAGACACCAAAAGCACAGGAAACTAAAGTAAAAATTGACAAATGGGATGACATCAAACTACAAAGCTTTTGCACAGCAAAGGAAACAATCATCAAAGAGAAGAAACATGTATGCACATATGAATAATTAAAAAAATAATAAATAAATAAAAGAGAAGAAACAATCTAATCTACAGAATGGGAGAAAATATTTCCAAACTACACTTCTGATAATACCCAGAGGTTTATTCCAGAATTTACAAGGTATTCAATGGAAAAAAAAAATCCCAACCATAAAATAAACAATAGACCCAAATTGACATTTCCCAGAAGACATACAACTAGCCAACTGATATATGAAAAAATTTTGACCATTAAGTCAAAACCACAACGAGATAACACTTCACTCCAGTTAGAATGACTATTATCAAAAAAGACAAAAATAAGTTCTGATGAGGATATGAAGGGAACTCTTAACCACTATTGGTAAGGATGTATAGCCATTATAACAAATAGTATGGAGGTTCCTAAAAATATTTAAAAAATAGAGCTGGGCATGGTGGTACACATCTGTAATCCCAGCTACTCAGAAGGTTGAGATAGGCGAATTATGGTCCAAGGTCGGCCTGGGCAAATGCAGGAAACCCTATATGAAAAATAAACTAAAACCAAAAGTACTGGGGGGATGTGACTCAAGTGGTACAGCACTCAACTAGCAAGTGCAAAGCCTTAAATTCAATCCCCAGTACCAGAAATAAAAAGAAAAAAAAGTTAAAAATAAAACTACCTTATAATCCAGCAATCCCAC